GATATACTTACTGGGGGCACTTTTTCAGGGTATGACATAATATTATGCTTTCCTTACTAGTAATATTGGTTGACTTTTGCATTTGACTTGTTTATTTAAGAATCCAAACAGTAGAATATTTTTTTTTTCCTCTCAATTGAGAAAAGTGGGAATTATTTTATTGTTTTGACATTAGCAAAACATTTGTCCAATGTCTCTCTCACACAGGCTTTATATAAAAGTCATACAGACAGAAAACCTGTATCTAGGATTTTGTGGAGAGAGGTTTTGTCCTTTGGTTTTTTACAAGTAGCAGGTATAAGATAGTGGCTATAGTTTCTGTAGTTGCCTTGAATATACTCTGAAAGTACTGTTCCCATAGATATGAGCTAAATATGTAGGAGATTCTATAATATAATAGACATCTTTTTCATTTGTCTGTTAATAAGAACATTATCTCCTTATTTTTAGCTATATACTTTGTCTTTAGTGGCATGAAAGCTCATATACTCACATGCCACTTGTAACAAGAGAAATATTACATGTCTAGGAGATGCATCCTGAGATGCACACTCACTCACTGATGCTTAATTTATGCAAGTGTCACTTCTTGTAAAGGATGAGATTAACTAAAATAAAAAAAAATCCAGTTACACAAATTACTTTTTCTGTTCCAGCAAACCAAAGCTGCTTTATTTTCAAGAGCCTAAGAACTGACCCGATCCTGGTGTATTTGCTTTAGTCTTTTCTCAATGAGTAGCTGTCTGTCTCCATGTGTTTGTGAAGCTATACTCCATTTGCCTTCTCTTCTTGCCTTTATCTGTCCCAGCTGATAGAATACTGTGAGCATTTAAAAACTCAGGGCAGCTTGCAGTGATGCTTGCTGGGAATTTTTATGTACTATTAGAGGAGCTTACTGATTTTTGATGCCTGCTTTGCAGAATACTACATTTCTCATTAGCATCCAGATAGCTAGGTATATATTCTTAAGTGACTGAAATCCCACTAAATATCATATCTCTTTCTGTTACAAAGGCTAACTAACCTTCATTTATACACTGTATTTATTTTTTTTTCTATTTTGTGTGTCTACAGTAGAAAATATGTGCAAATTTATGTCGAGGTATTTGAGGTGTTAAAGCCACCATTACCAGTATAGGGATTAATTTAATAATACTTCTAAGCAGGCAGAGTAGACTTTTGAAAGTTGTGCACTCCTTGCAACAGAACACTAAATCAGAGACCTTTGCAAATATTGGACTAGATCTCAGTATAACTTCTTTCTGAAAAATGTCTTGAAATGTCTTTTTGATTTTTACAGTACTGCTGTAGTTTTAGAATTTGTTTTTGTGTTCATATGAATGCTTGAGAATAGGTTTCTGTCTCAATTTACATTATTGTCTTGTTAAGGGAAAAAGAGCAAAGGAAATTTCAATGTTTTTATAGCAGTACTGCCAAATAGCAGTGTTAACACCATTATCACCTGTACTGCAGTATGGCAACACTTAGAGTGTTCTTTCAGTGCCTTAGGCTGCCACATGGCATGGACTCTAGAGACTGCTTCAGGGAATTACTTCTATCCCAAACATCAGGACTACTTCTTCAATGTGAAGCAACTGTTTTTCTTTCTTTGAATGTTGCAATGGACAGTGAATCTGTTTACTTATGTCAAAAATTTTACCCATTGTAATCATCCAGATTTTGAGCTGAAGTCCTTTGTTGGTGTTGAGCCTTTGTCTACACTACAATCATTGGGCATGAGTCTGTTCAGGAAACTTTTTGCCTCATAGAGGAAATGCATCCACCTTTAGTTCAGTTGTTACAAAAGTTACTGAGATACTGGGACAGGGACATAGGTTTGCATGCTTTGACTTCCATTTGTGTATTACATCTGTCTGGCATCTCCATTAATGCCAATCCACTGGTAGTTCTTGATAATAGCAACTTCTGGCTTCTTCTTGACTTCTGATTAAGGAATCAGAAAGATAGACATTATGGTGTTGCAGAGGAGAAAGCTTTCTGAGTTGGGATTTTTTTAGAGATTTGGGGAATTTTTTGCAGTGCTAGTGCAGCTGCTTTTGTTTCTGTGGAACAAATGGAACAGGACACTGGGCAATGCTGGAAATCTTCTTAAGAAACTATGAATTCCTTAATGATGCTATGATCCCATAACAGTACATGTGCCTAAGGTCTTCTAGCTGACTAGGAGACTGCAGCTGGTTCTAGCAGAGAACAGTGTGGTGAAAACACACAGTTCTGGCTGGACAACAGTATTATCACCTCCTTGGACTCAAAGACATCTGTCCAGAGGAGACTCCAGCTGTTATGCAGGCTATTGAAAGCTTCTCACAGCTATCCTGTTTTCTAAATTAGAGTGCCACAGGAAATGTCTATTTCTGAAATGTTACTTTGATTTAAAAGTACTTTCCCCAAGGCAAAATATGGTACTCTTTATGGCAGACATATAGGAAGCAGAACTCTTGGGAGGTCTGAAGTAACAGGACAAAACTTTTCAGAAAATTTAAAACTGCTACAAATTTCACTCTGCTCCATTCAAAAGGGCAAACTTATGCACAAAATATTCTTAGTTGGATGGCACCCACAAGGATCATCAAGTCCAACTCCTAAGTGAATAGCCTGTATAAGGATTGAACCTACAACCTCGGTGTTACTAGCACCATGCCCTAACCAGCTGAGCTAATTAGAGACAACCACAGACATGGATTTCTGAAATTGCAACGGAAGATGGACCCTATACAAATTTAAGTAGGAAAGGTAAGCTTTCACCAAAATAGGTTTGTGAATTGTAACTGGTTCACACAATATCTGTGTGTTTCTGTAGTTAAGGAAGAATGTATTTTTAAATAAGAATTTTTACAAGGTGTAAAAAATTCACCTTTAAAGGCAAGTGTTTTAGGCAAGCATAATGCAAAAAAATAGAGGTACTTGGATGTCTTGTTAAAAAAAAGCTTTCCTTTCTGCGTATTTTAGAAGTGGAAGTTAAGATACTGATCTGAAATATGGATGAACTATACTTGAGCCTTCTTTATTTCTTTTAATTATTAGTGTAAAAGTCTCAAAATTTAGGGATCACTCTTAGTAGCTGGAAAGGGGTGGAATTCTGACAAAGCCTATTTTATTCCTCTGAAAATATATTTAAGTCTTAGTGTTTATAGTTTTCTTTTGTTTTGCAGATGAGTGTTTCTCATTGTTTTGTCTTTTTAAAAGTTTTTCCTAGGAAAATGAGAATATGTATAGAAGCAAGAAATAGAATTAGTTGAATCATTAGCAAGTGATGCAAAATGTATGGTCTGAAGTGTAGTTCTGAAAAAGTAACTGTTGTGTTTTTCAGCTTCTACATTTTGTGGTATTTTTATGAATGTCTTCCTTAATATCCTTTGAATAATAGAGTTTAATTTTGTAAAATAAAATGTTGATTAATCAGCATAGAGATGTAGACATGTACGGTTCTAAAAATCAGTTTCCTGGATTTTTGTTTTCCTGTCCTTTTGTTTTGCAAGATGTCCAGGTTTGCTTCTTTTTGGAGCATGCTGACTTTGTTTTACTGTTGATTTAGTGAAGAGCAAAAGAGAAAGGATTGGAAGACCATCTTAAAATGCACATGTATTTATGTAACAGATTAAGATAACAATTAGGAATTTGCATCTTGTCTTGCTATATTGAATAATTGGACTTGCATTTGAAGTCATTTCCTAATTGAAATTTAAACAGCTGTTAAGACTGCCACTAGAGATTTGTCTTTTAATATTCTGCTTTCAAGAGCATCATTTGGAGGCTAAATAATTATGTTATGATAAGTGAAATATTGATGGATTTTAGTCCAAAATTTGGATCCTGCTGTTTTACAAACCCTTTGATTTATTTTTACTGATGGGGAAAAATTTGCAAACTCAGCCTTAATTACAGTAAATATAAATCAGTACATTGAGCATATTATAATTCAAAAAAGAGAAGTCATTAGAAGTATTTTTTCCCCTCTGTCTTAACTGTAATATATCTGTATATTAAATTGTGTGCATGCTATCAAAATGTTTGCAGAAAGGTAAGTAGTAACCCCTATGGCCCAGTGATAGCATGCTAAACTTTTTCTTCTGTAGATATAGCTACAAGATAATCCAACATGGGCTGGAAAAAAGAGTGCTTGCCTGTATGTGCTCTCAGTTTTCATTGCACTTTCCCAAGTGCTGGTATGATTGTGATTTCCTGAACAAGATCTTACAGAAACTCACCCTTTTTTCTGTATGCTTGTTCCTTAAAATGTCTCATAGTGGGATTAAATTCTAGACCTGACCAAACTGAATAAATGAAGCTTAGGACATAAATTTGCAGTGGCAACTGACTGTTAATTTGTGGCAAATGTAATAACAGAATATGAGGAATTTCTTAAGTTCCAGAACCTAACTAGTATTCTCTGCTTCTTGTTGGTTTTGTTTTGTTTTGTTTTTTGTCGTTGCTTTTTTTGTTGTTTTGTTTTTTGTCCTGCTGGTCCTAATGACTTCTTAGAAAAAATTATCTTCTTTATTGCTGTGTTTAAGGTTTTACATGCCACTTCTAACTGTGTAAGCAATTGGCTGTGGAGAGGAAACACTAGAACTAGTAATGCAGAATTAGCAAAAGTGTGACTTTCAAAATTAGGGCTATAGCTTCTCCTTTTAAATTTTTACTTATACAACTCCTGTTCATTAAAAGAAGATAAACTGGAAACCTTACACTGATGCTATAATATGGATCCAATTTTGAATGAGGACACAAAATAGATATAGACAAATGTAGTTAGATGATGTCTAGTATTTTAATTTTTCACTGTGAAATAGAAAAAAACTTTTATATATGATTTTGCAGTATCTGTGGCCATTCGCAGAGTAATGATGCCTTTCAGTTGCTACCAACATTTGTAATTAAAAATTAAATTATGTCTTATTTTTAGTAATTAAATAATGTCTCATATTAAAATAGATTAAATTTGACCTAATGTTTATCTTCATTGTCATTTCTTTAAGGCCCTATTGAGTTTGAAGAATGTAACACATCCAGTGTAGCTGAAGGTAAGTTGCCATAGCATAGTTATTTACACGGGAATGCTGTGAATAAGGACCTGAACTGTGAAGCAAAGGGTACTCAGTCTATGAATCTATACAACTTTAAAGTGCTCCAGTAGACTAAAAAGCAGTTTTCCTTTTGAGAAACAAACCAGTGACAGTAAGACCTATAAATCTTTTATAAGATTAATGCATAAAGGTCAGATAATTTGCATGTTTCTTGTAAGTATACTTTGGCTAAGGCTTTGTCTTTGCAAAAGTTTGGATTTGATTCATTTATGAATGTGTTGTAGCTTAATTTACAAGTGTCAAAACATGGCCTGGGCTCTTCCCATTGTTATTGTGTCAGTTAAACTAAGCCTAATATTGTGTTATGTTTGCAAAGTGTGTCTTTGTTGGTGCAGCTTATTTTGCTTAGGGCGTTGTTTTAAGTGGTTAAGAACTGTTTTCTCTCCATAAGATATATCTTTACTTGTGGGACAGAGGAGTCAACAGTATATCACCCAAAAACTTGCCAAGTCAACAGTATATCACCCAAAAACCCAAAAAAGTTGCCAAGACTTCAGCTGAGACTTAAAACCTCTTCTAACTGAAGCAGATAAGATCCATGTTCAGAAATTATTTTCATACTCCATTTGCCATTGTTTTGGTGCAAAAAGAGAAAAAATATACACAGAAAAAAAAAAGGCCATTTAGGGAAAAAAAAAAGACATTTAAAAATAATCTTGGAGCAATTTACGTGCCTCAGTATATATTACTGACTCTACAGCTACCTGATTGGAGAAGTTTGGAGTTACTGAAAATATCTAGGAGTGGAGAGTTTTCTTATGCACTGTGTAATGTATTTTTGTAAAGGTAAATGTAATAAAGTGCTTGAACTGACAGAGGTTTAATTTTGGAAACCAAATTATTTCTACTGCTCTGCTCAAAAGCATGCTGTCAGTACTATCATGCATTAAAACCAAATTGTAGACTAGTTGAATCAGATGCTTGCACTTAGATTGGCAGCCTGCTTTGCCTCAGAAAACATCGTGAAGAAGCAGATGTGGCAGTAAGTCTGAGGGAATATATAAGTGTATTTTAGTTTTAGTACATTAAATGGGAATGAAAGCAAACTTTTTTTCAGTACTGTAGCTATACGTATCCAGTGCTAAAAGCAGGGAAGAAACAAAAGGGGAGAAATGTAATTCCAAACTCAGTGAGAACCACTCTTGGAGGTGGATACAGCACTGGGAAATCATGAACTCACCTCAGCTGGAAAGCCAAGAAGCAATCTTGTTTTTCACAGAACCAAGGTCCTACTTTTGACGAAAGAGGAGCTTGCAGCTCCTGGGAGCACACAGGGAAATAACGACAGGGTATTGAAGTGCAGTAGCTGGGGAAGACAATGTTCAGATTCTCATTCATGGCTATTCAGGATGACCTGGAGCAACAGCTTCTGTTAAACTTTTGTGAGCAGAGTCCTCTTCCTCAAAACTGTCTATTAAACAAACACAGTCTGTATATCCAACTTGGAGATCCAAATAAGGTTTTTAAGGATTTTATTACTAATGAGTTGAACCCTATTTTGATTTCTTTTTTTTAATTGGTATTTTACTTAAAGCAAATTGGAATAATGTTCCCTTAGTTTGGCTCCATACCCATCTCCACTGCATACCTGTGGCAGCATTTAAAACATTGTCATTCATATGCATCTGTATTTGACACTGCTAAATATTCATTTATCTCTTTGAGCTATAAATGAAAAGTGTTTGTTCTATAGGAATAAAACCACGGAAAAGGAAGCCTTTTGGTTTATCAGGAATAATGAAAAAAGAAAAAGATACTGAATCTGTGTAAGTATATTTCTACCCTGAAGCCTTGTCTTTAATGAAAACTAGTAATGGGGATAAAAATTAGCCAATATTTAAACAAAAAAAAAAAAAGGGTTTATAGCAGCTGTTTAAAGGAACACAATGAATAAAAAACATCACATTTATTTACAATTTTTGTGGCCAAGGATTTTAAGATAAATAACAAAAAATAATGTAAATGTATTCATAGTAGTCAATAATGTTTCCTTCTTTCCTGTGAATAGATGTTTTCCATTCTTCTACATTTTAACATTGTAGATAATGTAACTCACATTAATCCTAAAAAATATGTCTGTATGTGGTAAAAATACCAGACGGCTGTATTTGAAGAATTGACGCTTCTGTTATTCTTCTGTTAAAAGAACTTCTGCATATACTGTCGAAGGACAGAAAAGTGCAGTATATCATGAGCACACTCCCTTCTCAAACAAGGTCATTCTAGCTCAGGGCTGTTGTCTCAAATATACCCTTTGCTCTAATCTTTGCATGTGCTCAGTCTCCCAGGAGTTAAATCTCTGCAAAAAGTGATTTTGAATAACAGTTCTAAGGTGAATTGGTCACAGTGTCTATATTAGTCTTTATGGTCACTGTATTTTTTTCATAATCTCCACATGTATTTTCTCAAGAAGGTAGCTTGCAATTTTACAAACTTGACAATACAGAAATATTCCCAGAGGCAACATCTGCATAAATACTTTTAAAAATTACTTTTAAAAGTATTTTACCGGTATCTTTTTTAAAAAGTATTGATGAAAAATTCATGACTTAAGAACAGCAGGTACTAATAGTATTTTGTTTCTACATTAACACACTCTACAAGAGACTAGATTCTGAGGTCAGAAAGAAATATGTATAATGGTATGATATCAATCTCCTATGTAATATGTGCCATAGGCTTTTATAGAAATACTTCCATTAAACTGTAACTACTAAATGAACTAGAACATCACAAATAAATAACAGGATTCATTATGTGTTACATAATATATTTTAATACTTCTTTTATGATCTCTAGACATAAAGATTGCTAGTCTGTATTTTGTCTGATCTAATCTTCATCTGATGACTCTGTTATGGACTTGGAAATGATAAAACTGTCTTAAAATAATAAAACTGAAACTTCTATGCACAAAGAAGTCAAGTCCTCCCTTGGTCTTGTGTTTTATTAATCTGTAAGCTTGTTTAGCTTATGTAGGGCAGGCTTTCCACATCTAGAAAATCTCTTATAGAGAGTAGGCTTTTCAGTTTGTCAAGACAGTTTTAAAACTGTTGATGCCTGAACCCATGGTGTGTCTGTGAATTGTTTTAATTCAGGGAAATACCATACAGGGTGCATTCTGTTATGTATTGCTATAGTTTACCCAAGGATTTAACTTCTAATCATTTCTTTGCATGATTTGGTCTAGTTTATATCTACAATCCTTAAAATCTCTTATAAAATCTCAATTTTCTGAAATATTCCCTTACGGAATATAGTGGAAGCATGAGCCAGTTCTTTAATTTTAAAAGAGTGATCATAAATCTAGTGATTTGAAAGTACTTTTGTCTATAGCCTGATGTCCTCATTTTCCACCTCACCAACATTTGTAAACTGCTGTGTTTTCATTGCATTTGTAGAACAGATCCTGAGAGATGCCTTTAGTATTCCTCTGAATGATACTAGATCTGCCATTTCTGTTTGAGATCTTCTAGCTCATTAATATTGGAAACCTTCATTGTGGGCTGAATTTTATTCTTTTAGTTGCCTCATATTTCACATTTCTCAACTTTTATGTACCTCAGGCTGTCTTGTGTGCCTACGGACACTTTTTGAAACCACATCTCTCAAGGGAAGAATATACTTTGTCTTTTCAAGCAGTAAAATATCTTTCAAAACAGCTCTGTTGCTATGAAAGATGTAAAACAAGTATAAATTTGGTCATATATATCCTCTTTTGTGTGAGACTTTTCAGAGAAGATGGAATCCTTCATCTCAGTGCCATTTCCTTAACATACTGTACTGAATTTTGTATTAATGCTTCCATGTTAGCAAGTTTTTTGCAACTGTTTTTAATGCACTGTAGTAAAAAACTAAGTTTTTTGCCTTTTACCCATTTGTTTTTTCAGAGAAGATGTTTCAGATTGCAATTTTTCTTTATAATCTTTCTTTTTAATCTTTTCATATTTTATTTTTCTTTATCCATGTTCTTTTTTTAATACATGCATTTTAGGATGTTCAGGTTACTGATATAAAAACACTCCTGTTCAGTTACAGCTTCACTATTTGTCAAGGTATGAATTAGAAAGGACTTGTATGCTACTCAAATATTCCCACATTCTGTAAATGTAATTGCTTCTGCTTTTTGAAGACATCAGAGAGAATCAGTGTCATTCCTAATTTTAAGTGTTACTGCTCAAATTGAAGTTGCAGTGGAGAATTTTAACACTTGTTAATAATGTGCTTGCAACCACTGCCTTTCTATAGATAGCTTTTTTTATTTTAAGTATTTTTTAGGAGGGTATTTTGTTCACCATTTTCTAGTACTTGACTGCAACTGCACATGACAAACATGAACTCAGAATGAAACTCTAAAAGAGGAAGCTCTGAATTCCTCTGAAGAAAATCTTAATTTCTTTGTGAACTGGTTTTTGTCCAAAACATTTTTCACTTGCACGTAGACTATTTCATTAGGATTGATGACTTCTACTTATTGCAAACCAACCATGAAGACCTGAAACTTAAAGTATATTCACCCAGGACACAGTGTGGTAGTCCTCACTTTCCTTGGGTTTTTTTGTTATTATTTTTAATTCTTTTCACTAACATGTGAGTTTGATTTTTCATGATTTCTTTTAAGATTTTCTTCTGCAGTGTTTTGAGCATAAACTGTCAGCTGTTATTTAAATCTCATTCAGTTGAATGTGGATTATTTAAAGTAAAAATTTCAAGAATCTGAGAGGCAAAAGGGTCAAATGCACTGTTTTAAATTTATAGAAAATATTGAAGGAAAAATTTTGTGAATAAAATAAGTTGTGCATTTTATAATCGTAAATTTTCTTTACTTTTTTTTTTAATAGGGAGTGTCCAGATGCAGACTCAGTTGTAAGTAGACATTTCCAAAATAAATCCATATGCTAATACTATAAAGCCCTACAATATGATGGAACTTAAGTTTCATACAGTCTCTTCAATACGTAATTTATCTGATAGACAATTTATTATTTTCATAGCATACTTGAAGTATTAATTTTGTGCAATATATGGTCTTCAGCAGTATGTACAAAAAAGTGTCAATAATACATTTTTGTTTCTTAACAATTTTAGATTTTAAGCAAGGTGTTTTCACCGCAAATATATGTTACTTTATTTTTCAGCTAACAGTTTGAATTTCTTGGCTAATAGGTTTTAAGAAAGAAAAATATTTCGTGTATTGTGGACTCAACTTTGTATCACCATATTTTTCTACTTATTACTGTTTCTTTCGAGAAATCCTTCTATATCTATCCTTCAATATTGATTGGGTTCTGCTTTAGAGCTGGCAGTAGACTGTAGGAATATACTGTTTAAAATATGTCTTTAACTGCAGCATTTCTAGACTCACTTTGCTAATGGTTTAATTTTCATTACTGTTAGTTAGATCTGTGAAATGTCTTATAATTTTTTTTTAGTCAATTCAATGGTAAATGACCATTTCAAATTAAATTGAATATGTTAATGATTTTTATTGCCTTAATTTAGTCTTTTCTTCTTATGCAAACATGTATGCTCTCTTGAATTAATATATAACAAAGATTTAACTCCCTATAGCTCTATTTGGGAAAAAATTACAGAGTAATCGAAGTGATTTGTTTTTAGTTCATTCATTTAGGTGCCAATTACATTACACAATTTAAGTTTTCAAGTTCATTTATTTTGTGGATTTTCTTATTTTTATTTGGTATCTAGGAGGTTTTAGCATCTAATATTAAAACTTGTTTTGAGAAATTTAATTGAAACATCTAATAGAACTATCCTTCTAAATGTGGAAAAGTAAGTTTTGCCAAATAACAGAACTATATGTGTAAGAACAGATGTGTAATTCTTGCCAAGTCATTTCTTTTATATTGTGTAGTCATCATGACTTACAGCTAATTTCTTTCTTTTGGTACTTTTTAAAGGAAGTAACTATAGAAGTATCCTTATAATTATCAGTCTTCTCATGGAAGTAAAATCATTTGACAGTTCAGGTTGAGTCATTGGAGTGAACCACAACTGGATTTGACTTTCAATGTTTATTTTCTTTGCTTATTTTGGTCTCCATGTTTTTTGAAAACAATTAGTTAAAAAATGCTACTATAAATTGGTTTGGAATTCCTTCTGGCTACATGAGGCACACCATGTGATCATCTAGGTTAATTGTTAATACTGTTGTATTTTTTTTTTTTGCCTTCTCAGCATTTTATGACTTCATTTAGAATTTAAAATTTGGTCTGTGATTTCCACTTGCTTGTTTCAAGCAACAGTAGTATTCTATCTAGTGATAGAATGCTGTAATAGTAGAGGCTATAACTCTAATTCCAGTGAAAAAATTATATGAGATTCATTTCACCCCTTACAAACAAGCAATCCAAAGTGCTTTTATGTTGTAAGGTTGGAGTCCTCTTCTGAAAGGTCTCATTTCAAATGTTTTTAATTTTTCTTGGCTTTTACTTCTGTATTTCCTGTCTGTTTAACTTATCAAACCTGATCTAAATACTTTAAACAGTCTCTATTAACTCTAGGAGGATTTATTTTTTATGGATATTTGCAATAAATTATGCATTTCAAGAAATTGAATGTGGAAAACTATTATTAAATAAAATAAATTAAGGCAATTATAATTAGTTTTTTATTTGCTAGGAAATACTGAGGAACTGACCTCAGAAAATTCAACTTAACATGTCCCAGTCATTGTTTTGTCAGTTTTGGTCACTCACAGAAAACCTGTGTGGCATATATATGATTATGTGATCATTTTTTGAAAATTGGCTTATGTTTATTTTTCAAGAATTTTAATTTTGTGAAAGGAAGGTAAAAGATAAGCACTCTTCAATTGTATATAAATATAGGCACCAAGGTAAAAAAACCTGCAAATTTTCAAGTTAAGGATGTAGGAAGAACTGATTTGTATACATATCTACCAATTCTGTATGCTGCTGTAGATCTTTGAACATACTATGTAGTCAATACTATGAGTGCCTTCTCACTAGTGCAAAATGTATGATGCAGTCTATCAAATTTGTATTCTCTGTTTCCAAAAACAAATGGTGAGATGGGTCAAAAATGTATTTTGTCCCAAAACAGATCCTCTCCTTTATCCATGGTAAGACAGATTTGCTTATGCTCATCCTTTTTGTAGCTGCCAGATTATATATACTGGAAAATAAATTAATAGAATGTTAATTCCTGTAAGTATTTTTTGTAACTGCTGTAAAAGGTTTTCATGTGCTCATTAGTAGACAGCTGTGGACTGAGATATGGTATTTGTTGATAAGGTTGACCACTTCAATAACCAGTCTCAGTTTAAATATAGGTGCCAGTATCTAATGAATTTAAAATTCCTGAGTTTTCTTATATGTCCATCTATGGTGTAGCTTCCATTAAGGTAAAGCTTGATAATTAAAAAAAGTGGAAAGTTTGTAGTTAAAAGTGCATGCACTGGAAAGAGATAGCAACTGAAGACTGACTCTATATGAGGGTTTTGCCTTAGAATGTTTTTCTAAAGGCTGAAATGTCTTGTTTCCCATGAGTTTGCAGCTCAAGAGATGCTCTCTAGGAAGATATGAGATCTAAAAGAAACTTTTATTCCTGGGAAACATTTACAAAGTTCCACTTGTGTCCAGGAAGGTCTGAATTGGGATTGCAACCCTTCCCTTGGATGGGATGCTTCTTCTACTTCACTGCCTGTTTTCATGAAGACTGTAGTAATGTAATTATCTTTGAGTTCTCTATTCTCTCTGTCAAACCCATTTGAAATTCTCCAGTAAGTTCAAAAGTAATTAAGAAGGGAGTCACAGATGTACAGAACATAACGGTGAAAGGTTTTTTTTTTTATGGGAAACTGAAATGCAAACACATATCAAGGCATCCAAAACTTTTCATTAACCTCTTCACATGTGATTGTAGCATAATTACAGTTATATAGAATTATAGACTACTTTTATTGTTGGGGACTGGTTGAACTTGAAACCATCAAATTCTGAGAAGTGGAGCACAAGTGTAACCTAGTATTTAGTGAAATTCAAGTATTTTTCCATATTTGCATTTTACAGCATTTTATTCTGGGATATTTCAAATAGCTGATGTCGAGGACAAGGCTTTCTATCAGCACAACACAGGGGCACTTTGAATACCCATTTTTTTTTCTTTCTGCATTTCTAACAATAGGAAAAGCCGACTGTCTGCTCTCTTCTTCTGTGTCTCTTGGGTTAATAGGCACCCTAAGGAGAGGAGGCCAATATTATGCCTCAGTCTTAACCTAAGGATATGTCAGAGTCAAATTTACATCTCAGATATCTCAAAAGTGGAGAGGCTTTTTGTTCTCTTGTTCCAGCCTATGAGCTTCAGCTGCTTACTTAGAGTCCTCATCCGGATTGTGGGATGAGAGTTGAGTTCCAGCAGAAGAAAATAGTGAACTGTTCAGCTGCACTATGTCTTGAAGCGTACCCTCAGGAAAACTTGATAAAGAGCTTTCATAACCACTGTAGTTATCTCAGAAGAAGAGAAAATATAAAGAAACCAAACTGGAGCATAGTGAAGGTTCTTTGCTTCTTGACTGATGACCAGCCTGTCAGTAGCATTAATGTTGTAGAGGAAGGGCCAAATGAAGTAGTTAGGCTGCAGTGTTCCATGCATTCCTCACTTGTCCTTTGTAAGTAGCCCAGAGACACTAATGAAATGGTAATGGTGTGACTTCTTCAATCACCTTTGGATGTCAGATGGGACAGAGCAAGGAAACTAAAATAAGTTATTCACCAAAACTAAAAAAATGTGTTTTGTCAATAGAATGCTTGGTCCTCAAGCTTCATACATAGGAAATATTGTTTTATTTATCAAGGCTTTATGTTTAATTCTTCGAAAAATTATTAACCCCAGAAAGCTTGTAGAATATGCCAAGACAAAGACAAAAGTATACGGCAAGTTTCTGGCGTATGTTTAAAGCTATGTAAGATATCAATTAATGCATTACATCAGAAAACACAGTGAAAACTGTGGCTTTTATAGCTACATGTTTACTTGCTTAACAGAACCTCAGAAGGGCTTCCTGGAAGTCCACCTTTCAAGTTGCTTCTGCAGAGTTCAATTCACATGCATAATGATGCTGTTGGGAGTTTTTTGACTGCAAAGACCACATGTTTGTGTAGGGGACTAAAGCAGACCTCTGTCCCCATCATATTTATAATAACTTTTCCCAAAGGCCAAAGTTTGCAAAGATCATCATCTTATGTGTTGAAGTTCGAAAATTATACATGTATACATGTAGGTAATGAACTTAACCTCTGATCAGCACGGTAGACAAATCAGGTCTTATCTGTGTTATGTGCCTGATGCTCAAGAGACGCAGTTATCCATGACATAATATATCATTCTGTAACTGTATGAGTGTGGAAAAGGGAGTAAAATTTAATCAAATAGATGTAAATGCCTTCATTAAACATCAGATTCATGAGTATGTGTCTCTCAGGTTGCTGTGTTACCTACCACTGTTATTACATGTAGATTTGCAAATGAAATGTTGATATTTCAGAAAGCAGAACAGTGACCAGTTCAACCATTCAGAATATTGAGAACAGTGTTTTGAAATTACTACTTAACTTGTAAGATTGTGAGGTGCCATTTTGCTTCTGTGACACCATTTGCCTTTGTCTATGCAAAGGTATATCAGGTATCTCTTCCACCCATTTTTTATGTTGGTTTACACAAAAATATAAATTCAGTATCTAGTTAATTAAAGCAGGTGTTAACAATGATCATAAATTGGCTGGAAATACAAAGCAAATTATTTATGTGTATATATAGTATTTAGAGTCAGAATGTTTGAAATTACATCTGTTTAAATTTTACATATAGGAAAAAATATAAACAAGGTTTTCTATACAGGGTTTGAAAAGAAGTGGTAACATAGACTAGCTGAAAGAGAAGGAAGAAATTTTCTTCTCCTGGGCTCAAAACTTAAGTGTAAAATATCCATCTCTGTTACGTACATGAAGCTGTGAAAACAGACTGCATGCTAAAGGGCTGTTTCAGAGGGAAAGGTGATTCAAGTGTATTATCAGTATCAGAAATAAGTATAATGAAAGTATTAAGAAAGAACATTAAATACTTTACAATTTTGGTGCTTTCTTAATCCTAGAGTTTACTCTTCAGTAAACTAAAAATAATACAATGAAAAAAACTTCTACAAACTAAGTTCTCTTACAATTTTTATATCAAAATAATCAGTTTTGCTAGCTATGTTGTGCATGCTGTGTCAACCCAGTAATAGTAATAGTATCCCTTACATATATGGCCCAGTTGTAAGAAAAAGTAAATGTTGTATATTTAAAGATTTTTTTATTGATTTTCAATTCATATTAACTATGAATAATCCTGATCTATGGAAAATTACCTGGTGTGAAAACTAAATTAATTTCAGAATTCAGAATTTGTAGTATTACAGAAAAGTATACTTACCCTGTTGCTATATATTTTTGTTGTGTTTACTTTGATGTCAAGTTTCATTAGTGGTTTTTGGTATGAAAACAAGGCCATCTTAAGGTCAAGCATAGCTAAGAATCCTGATTTGAGTGAGTAGAGCTAAAATATTGGAGTGTGTGATTGTACTCATTACTTTTTTGTTGTTGTGATTATTTATTTATTAATCAAATAGCAGCGAAGTCTAGATCTCGCAAGTGTTTCAAGAAATTGCATTTATATGTCTATATTTTAAAGTTTGAGAGTTTAAATATTGTTTTTTGCCCTTAGTTTGATGTGGTATTTAATTTGGTATAGTCTTACATCTGTACAGGACTGTATTTCTTACACTTTTCTTAGCAGAAAGTTTGAGCTATGTGTAAATTCCACTTATTTCAAAAGTGTTAAATTTAGGGAGCTGTACAGACAAGACTCTTTCTTAGTGAATTATCAGACATCCCATTTGTAAAAGATACAGAAGGATAAGTACATTTTAATAATTTCAATGTTTGTATTCTGTATTTCAAAAGCTATTCAGAGATATGAACTTTAAACTTGGCTTCAAATTTTATCTGAAGTCATGAGGTTCCTTTCTTATCCACTTGAAATCATCAGCATAAGTAATTTTGTTCTAACTCTTGACTTCTAGCAAATTTTGGCCATACTGTGTATACATATCTGTTGGTCAAATTGGTTCCTAGTACCTACTTTCTGATAGAATAAACTGTTGCTACACTAGAAAAAAAAATTTTTATATATATACATGTTATAATTTTTATTATATATTGTTGAAATCACTGCATTTTGAAGATGTCTTTGTGGGTTTTTGTGATAAACTTACTGTGACATTAAGCAGTTCACATACACTGCCTATGCATACGAAGTTCTGAGTGAATTTTTTTGGTTCTGATTGAGGAAAGTATCTATGAGTCCGTGTTTATCCTGTATATGTAACATGTGTGATGTGGGGGTTTTGTGCATTTTTAAAATTTAGATTATCTTGGAGACTTGTTTCTCTCTGCCCCGCAGGTTTTTTAATATTAGCTGAGTCGTCTAAGTTATTTTAACATAATTCTTTTCTATTTCTGTTAAATTGCCTGCAAGGACAGAAAAACAAAACTTGTCTTAAGTTCTCAGATGCCTATTAGCTTTGAAATTCAGGATAGCGTATAATGGAGATGTGTGAAGGAAAACTTGGGAGTAAAACTTTGAGCACCTGTGATGTGGATATTCTTTTCTGAAGAAGCAGTACAAGCATGCTGCCTGTTCTAGGGGGAGTGGAATTTGCAAGCTGTGCTTTGGCTTACATACTTGAATATTGACCAGTGTTTAGGAAAGTTTTGTCTCTGCACCGTCAGAAGATCTTGTGACTTAGTTGAGAGTAGTAAAAATTAGAAATTTTTTCTGGGGCCAAGAGAATTGTAGCCTAATTTAACTTAGTACTGAAGTTACAATAATGTTGATTTCTGTCAATATTTTTTGATAGAGTAATTGACTAGTAATTAATCAATTAGTAGTTATTTAGTGATTGATTAGAAAAAGAAGGTGCATTTCAAACTTGTCAGTTTCCACAGGAAATTTAGAGCTTCTTTTTCACATTTTGTGCTGAGGTATCTTGCCACACAACTTCTGAATGACAGATTATATCTTCTGACAACTGTAATAATGTTGAATAAAAATAACTTTCATGAGTTGTTGTAATTTTAATTTGTCAATGATCTGATGTAAGAATGACATAATTTTTTAGTTATTTAATAATAGCATGATTTTTGTTGTTGTTTTTAGAACTTTCCTGATGTAGATGATGAAGGATACAGCATTAAACCAGAAGCAACACAGGATATCCTTTTTACTATTGTTGTGCCATGTTATTTGATGTTACTACAATTCATTGGAGAGAAGTACTGACTAAAGAGTTAAAGCCTATGTTGCAGTCTTGTATTCTTGCATTAATAACTTTTGTAAAATGAACCAAACTTTTTCTTGGATGTGTGTGTGTAAATGTTAAAGATTAGATTAGATCAGATCTCTTGGGAACTTTAAAAGGACAGTAAAAATAAAAAGCAAAAAAATAGCCAGATCCAATGCAGATCCAAAATTCCATGCAGATCTCTGTTCTTGAAAAGCTCTCAGAATGTTTCTAAAATAAAGTTTGCAAACTTTTTAAAGCATTTTGAATGGTTATCTGTTCTATACTTGCACCGTCCCATTTTTCGGTAGCATTAGAGCAGTGTAGAAATAGAATTTCTGTTACTTAATGAAGTCATTATATCACATGCTGTTTCCAATTGATGCTTTTAGCTTTTATTGTCTTTTTAATAATAGCTTTCATATACAGAATAGATTTTGTTCTGAGTCATTTTTATGGAGACTCAAGATTTTTCTCTGCCATTCCCCTGTTGCTTTGGAGGAAAATTTTTGTCCACTTTTTTCCCATCCACCACAGAGGAAAATTCTACTTAAGAGCTGGGAATAGTCACCATAGATCTAACTAAGCCTAGTATGCTAGCAAGGTAGGTAATTTTTGGAAATGTATTCACTAAATTTTCTGGGTACTGCAGATAAAACGTGAATTTAGGCTATACCATTACCTTAAATTGCAAAAACCTTAATGCAGTTAGTTAATGAGTTAACAGCTCATTACAGTGGCCAGTTCATCATCATAACTTCTTTGTAATCATCAGCTTTGCAGAATATGCCTCTAATGCCCACACGGAAGAGTTCTGTAACAATAAAAGCGGTTGGTGTTATCTCCTGTTTACAAAATTTATATAAAAGTGACAGACTTTTATCCAGTTCTAAGAGTAGTATTATTTCATGCTTTGCATGTATTTCTGAGAGAGAACTGAACAACATTTGTGCTTATGATGAATGATTCATCTGGACATCCTTTTTTTAAATTATCTTTTTTTTGTTGTGAAGCAAGAGAAGAGGCACACATTCAATGAAAAATATCCATGATTTGCCATCTGTCATTATATAGTACTTCAGCTTCTGAAAATCTTGACCGCCTTCAGGAACTTACCAGCTCCCTTTCTCTTTTGCTCCCTTAGCCTTTAGAAATTTATTGTTGATGGGAAGTCATGAGATAATTTGTTGGAGGATGTTTTATTATAATTAAATAACCTTATATACAACTATTTTATATTATATATATATAAAACAATTATATCATTGTTTTATTATAATGACAGTCAATCTTAATAAGTCTGACTTAAATCTGTATTGGCAAAACACAATAACTGTCTCGTTTGTAGGAAATGAATCTTGAAGGTCAGTGATAACTTTCAAGACAAGAAATCTCTTGATGAAATTAGAATTACTTGTCTTTGAAACCTTTTTTATAAGTGCTTTATTTTGAAAGAAGAGATAAGCATAAGATTAAGATATTTGGCTTTTTCCTCACCATAACTTTCATATCCTTTCAGCTGAAAGGGAATTGGAATGTCTTTAGGGTTCAGATTTAAAACTTTGTTGGATATAGTTTGAAGGAATTTAATGCAAATGTCTGTCATATTTTCAGGTGAAAATAACAGAGGTGGCATAGAGAATATGTACACTTCTTCCAGGTGGTACAAAATTTTGTGTTTCTGTAGAGGGAAATTTTCAAATTTTTCATGCCAAAACAAATACAGTTTTTAAGATTTAGTTTGGGCCTTTCAGAGCTTTTCTTAGATTCCAAACAGAATCATCATTCTGAAGATAAATGGAATAAACCCATAAATTTTAACTCTGAATTGTGAATTTTGGACTGTGGATGTATGTAAGTGCACAAAGAGTTCACTTAATATGAGCATTTTGTGGACCAAAATTATGAAGTAGATTAAGCAGATGACTTTGAGGTATTTCCGCCTTAACTGACAAAAACATACCAAAGAGAACCATTTCTATTCATCCAGTGATTCTGACTCTGAAGATGATGAACCCAGGAGGTTCCATGTGGAAATAAAACCTGTCCAGCCAAATAACACCTCTCAATACACTATGCCTACTTTGGATGAATTAAAAGTATCCATAGGAAACATCACTCTTTCTCCAGCAATATCTGTAATTTTTTTTTTCCTTGTATTTTTAATGTGTAGAAAAGTGGTAAAGAAACTGCACTGTAAGCATACATGATAGTGTTCAGAATTTATTCTAGGTTCAATAACTTTTTTCTTATGCACTAGGTCATTTTTGGTACACTTTCTATTCTAATAGGTTTAGATTGCCCTTTTCTATTGCAGTATAACATTAAGTACTTTTCTCATAATTAAACTTTCTTATGAGTCTTTTGAGTGCTCAGCTCTTGTCTTTGTGCTCTTGGCCACCACAAGACATTCAATTACATCTTAGAGTTAGCCAAGCATGGCTTTTAACATAATTTGCTAATTAGTTTTCAGAAACATACAAGTCTTTTAAAACAAATCATATAATGAGGATGCATCAATAAAGCTGCACTGTAAATGTTACATGTGTCCTGCCAATTCATGGTATAATTCTTTATACCACCAGATGATAATTAATATTAGGGTATGCTAGTACAGTATTCAGACTTTAAAGAAAATAGTGCACATAACATATTAAAATAATATTTTTTCTCTTTTTTCCCTCACCACATTTTGAAAGCAGAGGCACAGTCCTGTAAGTAGAGAATGGGTTTTTATTTGTATTTGTAGTTAAAATTAAGTAAGTGTAGTGTGTGAGGGGACATGTTGGAAAAAGCATGAGGAATGTTTTGTTTCATCTATACTGTGTGCTAGATATAGGCTGTTTAATTTTCTGTCCCAGACAGTAAAGAGATTAAAAAATGCTGCTCCCTTTTTCAGCTCCATAGTATCTATTCCTGTATTTTCATACTGGTATGGCAGAGGTGCACTGATTGCTCTGTCTGGGCTCATGTTCCATGGTCTTCCACGAGCTCATGATGTTTTTGCCTGGCATTGAAAAAAAATATCTCAGAGGGAGTTGAGTGGAAATAAGAACTCTGGGACTATTAAGTGGTTTATTTCACAGTAGAAGAACTTATTTGTATTTTTTTTTTTCGTGTTTCAGGCACAAATGAATCAAAATTCATCAAGTAAGTGTGAATCTTTTAGCCTGTTAGTTTTTTAACATATAATGAAAACAAATATATTTTTTTGATTGGTGGAGACATTAAGTTCTTAAATATATGTATTTTAAATGGAACAAAATGTTTCTCTTGTTAGTTTTATATAACTCTTCCTTATCTATGTATTTGGCTGTTCCCTGTTCTGGGGACCAGATGAACCTGTATCTGACAGTAATGATGAACACATCCAGATGCCAAAGGGGTTACCCCATGGAAAAATCTCCTGTGCAAATTCCTGAAACCCTTTCACTGCTCAAGTTTAGTATGATCCATGAACCAGCAAAGCACACCAAGTGTGTGATGTAAAATACTGACAAAGAAGACAGAGCATGAGCTTCTATTATTCAGGGTTGGGTTTGGTTTTTTTTTTTGCCAGTGGGAAACCAGGCCAGATTTGCCGAAGAACAGTATTGATGCAAAATGTATAAGTTGAGGAGGATGTTTCAAGTAAAAAACACTTCCTTATGAAGTGCATTGGTCTAAATGTAGTCTTCTCAGATTTCAGGAATATCTAAACCTAAGTCATCTGAAATAATACGTTTTCTTTTTTTTCCATTTTAATAGTAATTTGCTTTGAATTGCCTACATTAACTCTCTTTTTATAATGAAAATGAAATTTTTATATTTCACACTTTTAGTGATATTACTGTATCTTTTTCTTAGGCGAAGAGTTAACAAAATCAAAACTTCCTGCTCCAACTACTGAGTAAGTTCAAATTCAAAATTCTATCAAATGCTGTTTTGCAGGAATTTTTTCTTATTTTTGTAATACTCACGGATTCATTGGAAATGACAGCTGAGTCCTATTTTAAGTTGTACCTCTATTGCATTATAAGACTAAGTGTATCAATGGATATTTCCATTTGCTTACCCCTTCTAATACATCTGATTTATGTCATCAGTCTCAGTTAATGTTTACAATTACATGGTTACACAATGTTTTTGATAAGGACAGATTTAGTTTCTATCCAAGAGCTGTCCATGGCAAAGTGTTTAAGAAGGCCCCAATTTATACTGAGCTGCATACATTGCTTATGTGCATATATGCTGAAATAAATGAATATGAAGATGTGGGTCTCAAAAACTACAGTTATTCAACTGATATTATTGAGTATGTTCACACACAAACTTTCACCAAGGTGTTTGCTAAGACAATCTCCTCATGTGTAAATCAGTTCTTTGACCTGCAACTTTTGACTAATTCTTTTCTTTTTAGATGCAAAGACTAATATAGACTAATTTGTCAAATGGTTTTATTAAATTATTGAGGGACTTATTACAAGGGTTATGTAGTGATTGGACTAGGAGGAATGGCTTTAAACTGAGAGTAGTTTTAGATTAAATATATGGAAGGCATTCTTTATTTTGTGAGGTCTGGTGAGAGGTGGAAACTGGCTACCCAGAGAAGTTCTGGATGGCCTGTCTCTGGAAGTGTTCAAGGCAAGTCTGGAAGGGGCTTTAAACAAGCTGGTCTAGTGGATGTCAGTGTGTCTGGAACAGAATTTTTAAATATTCTTTCAAAGCCAAACTATTCTGTGATTATTATAATTATACATTATCAAACTACTATTTTTGAATGCATAAACCTTTCATTTCTTTTTCAATTTTAATTCTTAATATAGAAAGGGGAACAATGACTTCCTGGCATGGGATCCACTCTTCAGCACTTCTCTTGAATCTTCCTCTTCAGCTTCTTTGGCATCCTCATCCTCCTCAGGTAAAATATTTGATGGTAGTCAAATATTTTTTTATGGTAAAATATTTGATGGTAGTGTTCACCTTTTTTTCAGTTGTTGCAATGAGACGTGCTTTGATGCATAAATGATAGAATTTTATAAAACAGTGTACCGTCTTTGAAGTACTACAGAGCTGAGATAGTATATAAGTATATAAGGCTTTCAAGCTAGAGAGGAAGAGGGAGTGCTAGACACCTTAGGAAAATTCCATCTTGCTCCTGCCTTTTTTATTGCCTTCTCATACTTACTGAGGAATTGCTCACCATCTAGAATGTAATCCTTTTTATTCAGCTGGTAAATCTGGGAGATTAAACGGAGGTTGTTGCAGCAACTGTGAGACAAGCTGAGCTTGCACAATGAATAGGGATGGATATCTTCTTTCTAGGAAAGTCAGTTGGGCTATGTAGTACAAAGGCATTGCAGAACTTCGCTGTGAGGAACTTGTTTCCTGTAGGAAGGCATGATTCTGTTAGGCATGATTCTGTTAGGAGATGTGAAGGCATAATCCAAGGGCAGGTGGATAAAAATGACGGGACTGAGACACGAATTAAGCCAAGATCCTGAAATCAGGGATATTGCAAGGAAAAGGATGGTGTGGCATATGGAGGCAGAGGGAGACAGTACATGTTGCATGGGAATTTTGGGTTGCAGGATATCAGTGTTGGTAGGACATTGGCAGGCTTTCCTGAAATCCAGTCTTTGCGAAAAATAATTCCATAGTTCTTTTCAGTCTACTTACTGTGTATTTTTACTCCAACATTTTAATTTTCTCTTAACATAGACACTTTTCTCCTCCCACAAACCTTAGAAAGGAAGCGTGTTCACGAATTTATTTGTATTCCAAAAATAATCCTCACTTCTTTGTTAATGATTATGGCTTTCTAGCAGTTTTCTTCTGTACTTGATCATGCAGATTGAAGAGCAATAAGGAAGATTACATAGGAGAATTCTGAAAAACTGGTGTTATTTCTTGGCTTAAGTAATGTTCTTTTAGCATCAATAACATTGCTTTATAACACTTTATATTTTAAGTAGAATTTTGTCTTTCACTACAAATTTGTGTTCTTTCAAGGTCACAGTTTTAACAAATCTGGCTTACAGAATTCATCACCCTTTCCTTATCCTGGCTTGCATAGTCAGCCAGTAGTATTGGCAAGTGAATCCACCATGTGTATGGTAGCACATTTAAGAATATATTCTAGAGAGATTACAGGAATATTCTGAAAAGAAATTTTGCTTTTTTTCAATCCTCTGTTTTGATAGCTTTGGTCTTGTGTAGGAGTCTGCAGAGAAAAGCAGAGGATACTTAACTTGTTGTGCTGGTGGTTGTAGCTGTATTTTATTTTATTTTATAGGGTGTTTATTGCTGTGCCTGGATGGGAAGTGATAGCATGTTAGGAAATCATGATACAGCTCCTCCTGGCAGCAGAACTGTGGAGAAAGTAGTCTCTGGCTGATGAAAAATGACAGAGATCCATAATATTCTCTGTAGCTGTATCTGGGAGGGTGTCATCTACCCTAGTCCTCATACCCATCAGGATTGTACACAGAGCCCTGCATTTCATTGAAATTGGTGCAATAGAGGGTCTTGTGGGCATAAATTAAGTTTAGATATCTCTGTGCCTTGGCAAACTTTATCCAATAAATAATTATTTCAAGGATTGTTGTTCTAGGAGTTAACTAAAATATTTACATTTATGAAATAATGTGTAAAATTTATTAGAAAGTAAGTGTTCCAAAGTATAACAAGTTTCTAATACATTTGGGGAAAAAAAAAAATTGGATCAATGTAGGTCATGTTGTTTAAATTGAGTTCTAATGCTTGCTAACTTGCAAGGTAGTTTCAAAGTTTTTTAAAAATACGTAATTTATCTGATTGTATTTTCCTTGAAAGCAATGTTTTATCTTCAGCTTGAAGGTTAGTAGTAAGCTGGTGCTTAAAGATCTTGAAAATCTCAATCCAAAATTTAAATTACATACATTATTTCTGTGGAATACAGTATATGTCCCTTACAGTTTAAACATTTGTTTAACTATTGTTTAACTATGGTTTTATAACTGTGTTAATCATTGAACACTTAAACTACCTTGGTATTTGAGCAGAAAGTGGTTTATGCAGCACAGAAGTAATCATGTCAGTCATCCATGAATAATCCCACTTTATTAGAAGTTTAAGCTAACTTTGTTATCTTGAACAAACAACAGACATTTTTTAGCAAGCTCTTGATACTTTAAAAATGCTTCTATTAGTTATCTTCCTTATTTTCATCCATGTGTATTTTTAAAATAGTTCTTAACATCTCCACATTGTTTTAAAATAGGATTTATAATAGTATTTTAAAGCTTTGAATTACAGTTAAAATATCTGTTAGAAAGAGAAAGCTGTGTTAAAATTGTTCGTGTTTAGCTGGACTTAGAGAATGTATTTGTTTATGGCAAAAGGACCACTGTGGAGAGGACGACTGTACTTTTGAACTGAACTTTTAAATGTGTTTCTCTTTTTTTTTATTTTGGTTGTCACTGCTATTGCTCCTAGCTCTGCCAGTCTGCAAGATGTTGAGAGTTGACTAACCTTGTATTTTCTGCTTCTATTGTCATCTAGACAACAGGCAACAGCAAGTGCAGGGAATAGTTGTGGAAAACTCCTTTTTTCAGCAGTCAGAAGACTATAGGATGAGAGAGGAAAAAAAAACCTGAGGTGCATGATGCCTCATCTATATTGTTACTCACTAGACACAGATTGACACAGACAAAATAACTATCAGACCGGATCTTGTGACTCCATTGTCTTCATTCATTCACCTGAAAGCCAAATCTGTTGGATCTTCCTATTACAAATGTTAGGACTAAGAGGATCAAAGTATTTGGAGGGAACATGATAGGTTTGATTAAATAACTTTGAAGGAAATTAAAAGCAAAAAGCTGGGGAGAGGAACCAAAAATGGAGTAGGATGCAAGAAGGAAAAGACAAAGATGAGAAAAAATTAAATCACAAGAGGTAGGAAGTCAGAGGAATAAGGAAAATTTTGAGAAATGTAGCCTTAAGTGGAGAGATACATAATCATTTTTTTGGAAAAGTGGAAAGTAACATGGTTTGCAGTATGAATGAAGTACATATGAAGTGTGACTGGATTTTTTCCTTTCTTCTCTTTGTGAGTTGGGGAGGTTACCTTAGTAGAGCTGTTATTTTCATGCTGACTAGTAATCCTTGTGCAGTGGATATTGAATACTTTTTTTGAATATTGAAATTTTTATCTTTTCATTGTTGGTCCTACTTTCAATTCTTCCCTTTTCCTTCAGCTACCCTAACAGAGCACAATAGGAGCTCCTCCTCATCTACCACTGATTTGCCTGGGTGTAGAATATCTCAGTCTTTGCTTGGACACCAGACAGATTCTGGGTCTACAAGCCCATCCTCACCAGGCTTTACCATTAGCACTTTGTGCAAATATGGTGTTACAGCAGCGCCATCAGGGAGTACCAGTACTTTATCCAGTTTTTCTTGGTCTCAGAGTCAGTGGATTTCCTTTGCTGATGAACTTCTTACAATTAGACATACAAGCACAGACAAGAAGGAGCCCCAAAGATTGCATTTTAAAACTGAAAATGCCTGCCTTGCCTCTTCTGCTTTGCTTGGGAATTCTATCAACAGCTGTGCTTCTGAGGATCAAAGTGACCTTTTCAATAACTCTATATGCCATGAACAATTATTCATTGAAGAAACTGGCACTGCTGCTGAAATATCTTCTGCATCATCTTCAGCACTACTGGACTATAGTTTAGTGTCTTCTTGTGCTCATACAAATAAGGGTATGCCAAGCATGCAATCTGTACTGCTCTTTGCTAATAACTGACTTCAAAAAGCAAGCTTTGGATTCATCTTTCTTTTTGTTATTATTGTTGCTCAACTGATGTTAAAGTTAATTAACCTTCTTATTTAGAATGTACTAAACTGCTTGTTAATACCAGTTGGGACAGTGAAGTAAATATTCAGCTTGAAATAAGAAGAAAATTCAAATTATTCATTTAAAAGGCATTGCTTTCTCTTAACTATGCAGTGTTGCTTTTCTAGAAATGGGAATGTATTTTTGTGAAATGTCAGACAGCAATGAGATCTCAGAGATTAAGTAATTGCATTTGCAAAAACAATTCTTTCTACATACAAGCTTCCAAGAGTGGTTGCTATGAAATCACTTCAGGGCAATGGAAAGCCCTTGATTATATTTTTAGATGCACTTTTCAGGGTATCACATGGCATATATTAAAAACATGGCATATTTTAAAAGCACTTACGATTTATGGTAACTCTTAAAACATGGCACTTGTACAGTAGGAACCTCTAGTAGAAACATCACTTCCAGATAACCTACTCAAATAATTATTTCTGTTCAGTGTGATCTTTCTAATATTTTCTTAACTTTGCTTTATTTCAGCAAGGCCCACCACTCCTCTTTCTGTGGGCACCATAGTACCCCCTCCAAGGCCTGCTTCAAGACCAAAGCTGCCTACTGGGAAACTTAGTGGGATTAATGAAATAGTACGTATTGATTTTTTTATTTTTTTATTTGCCATTTTGACTTGATTTCAGACACGCCATTCATTTACACTGTTACAGTGGAGTTAGTTTCTAGCCAATGGTCAAGTAATCACATAAGCAGGTATGCTAATAGTTTATGATAACTATCTTATTACAACAAATAATTATTAGCACAAGCACAAATGTCCAGCCATAATTTTTGCATCAGCTGAGTGTTTTTAATTGAGCAAAACAGTAATTTGACAATGAAAGATGGTGCATGCATAAGATCAAAGTTTTCAAAATGCAAAATACTAGTGAAGTTATTAACAAACCTCCCTTGATTTAGTGATATGACCAAAGCTTTGGGAAATGAGTTGGGTTTTTTTCCAGTTGAATCTTGAAAGAAATAGCCCTATTGTGACTTCTCCCTGCACTTGGTGCTGGTTTGTGGAGACGGGAGGTGGTAGACCACAGCAGTTGCCTGTAAAGATAGTGAGAGGGTGCACACTTGTCTGCATGTGCCTGCAGTGCAGGTTCACCTGCCGATAAGGAATGTGGTAAAGAATGCAAATAACCAACAGCCTATCAGACTAGGCCATGCCTAATTTCCTCTGTAAATATTAGTATTCTGCAGGTTTCATTTGACTTCCTGACTTGGAAAAATGTTCCTGTGGTAAAATCCTTGTATTGTCTTTCAAAGTAACACGATATTTTTACCATATTCTTGGTACAAACAAAATTCTCATCTTTTGCTTTGACAAAACTGACAAAATATTTTCTAACTCCTTTGCTTTTCTGTAGGATCAGAACCGAATTCATTCTTAAATTATTTTTTCTTTCCAATACAGCACTGTAGAAATTGCTCTTAGCCCAAGGAATCTGTTCTTCATGTCATCATAATTAAATAGAACAATTTATCTGGTACTGTTCTGCTATAAAGTATGATCCTGAACAAAGCTGCATTCATTTTATACTGTTGCTTTTGAAACTTACTATTATCTGTCAGAAGGCTGTCAGTTGTCTTTGTTATATGTTTACTCCTTTTACAATTCTCATAGTCTCTATCAAAGCCAGCAAGCGCAATAGAATGGGGGAAAAAAACGTTACTCAGACATCCCATACCTAGAGAGGAGGAAACACCCTAGGAGGAAACACATTCACATATGCTAGTGGTTGAATGGAATGACTAAAGTCAGAGTCCACAAAACTTACAAAGTGTTATTATTAAATTATGCACTTGGCATGGAAATTGGTATGTCCCTGACCTACTATGTTTGCATATGACAGTGGGTTATAGGTAAAGAGGTAGAATACAAAAGAAAGAGACAAAGGAACATATGAAATAATCAGGAAGAGAAAGAAAAAGATCACTAATCCTGGTTCCAGTGTCAATTCAGCTGATGGAGTGTCCTGGAGGTGTCACCTAGGCTTATTAGGAGTACCTTCTTATACACAGGTTTTCCCCACCCTGGAGCTTAGTTTCTTGTTTTCTATGCAAATTAGTTATCGTGCACAGTTCATTCTTTCAGACCTTTCTGGAATTCACTCAGAGGGCTCTGGGAGTCCTGAGTGGCCTTGATCCTCCCCTATAGCTGATGCTCGCTTCTCTGCTTCATTCCTGCACTTGAGCTGTACCTGTACTTGTGCTTATCTGCAGGAGTCAGAACAGGATGTTTGTCATGGAAAAATGCTGCCTACCACTGCATAGCACCTTCTCCAGCTAAATCTTGTTCTTTTACAGTTTGTTATTACCAACAATCCTTGATTATTATCAGCAGACCTTGTCTGTTAGTACCAACAGTCCTTGGTTATTAACAACGATCTTGGTTATCACCAGCAGGCCTTGTCTATTAGTACCAACAATCCTTGGTTATTATCAACAGTCCTTGATCATTATCAACAGTCTTTGTCTGTTATTACCATCAGCCCCTTATTTTCTGGGATCTCACAGTTATCCTGCCAAAATGATGCTTTGGGGGTTTCAGTACCTTTCAGATAGGTTAATCCTAGCATGATCATTAGTTAATTACCTTAACAGTTAAGTTTATTCTAAAACCATCCAGAGATTTAGAGTGGAAGAGATTTTAAAGTTCTCTAGGCCAACCTGGTCAAAAAAGGACTGACTTCAAAATTGTATCAGGTTGCTCAGACATGTGCTGAGTTTTGAAAATCTCCAGTGTGGGAGACTTTACAGTGTGCCAATCTGGCAGCCTGTCTCAGGATTGTACTACAAGGTTGCAAGAAGGATTTTTTCCCAAAGTCCAGCTGGCATTTCTTCACTGTAGTTCTTGTAGTTCTTAGAAGAGCCTGACTACTTGTTTGTATGCCCCTTTTTATCTAGGCAACTGCTAATAAATCCCTTCTTAGGCTTCTTTTCTCTGGGCTGGAAAAAACCCTGATCCTACAGCCTGTTCCTGTCTTGCTCCTGTGCTCCAGTCACAAGTATTTTGCCCTCTGCTGCTCTCACTTCCTAATTCATTAGTTGCTCTGCTTCAACTCTCTAAATCTATGTTTGCATACACATACATAGGGCTGTAGTCTTAGTTTCTGATACTGTGTTCTATTATTATTATTGACAGGCTGTTGCATAATCAAATACATTAGACTTGACTACTCTGTCAAAAAAAACTATAATCTATGAAATAATGGAATTTACTCCAATGGAAAATGCAGGTTCTCTGTTTTACATTAAAAACTAGGAGAAATATTATGAAATTCATTGAGGCATGAAATAAGAACTTTTCTATTTATATTGTATTTTTTCATCTTTGAAAAGACTTTATATTATATTCTTGTGATGTCTTTTATTCAGCCTAGGCCATTCAGCCCTCCATTGACCTCTAACTCAAGTCCACCTCCAGCAGCTCCTTTAGCACGTGCAGAGAGCATTTCTTCTATATCCTCTTCTGCTTCCCTCAGTGCAGCAAACACACCTACAGTTGGTAAGTTTAATTAACCATTTTCTTACTTGAGAAACAGGACAACTCAGCCACTAGGTTGCACCCGTTGCAAGAACCATTTGTTTGAGTTAGTTGTTTCATATGTGAGTCTAGGTACTTCAAGCATCCTTTGCAATGTCTGCTTCTAAATGACACTGAGACACAGGAAAGTAGATTAAATTAGATAGACCATAAATTCAGTTATTGCATCACTTGGCATAACAGTAATTTTCTTTAGGGAAATATTATTCAGAGTTAACATTCCATGAATAGTATGCTTTATATCCATCAAGTACAACATGTTATCATATATTTATTCAGAGGATGTTATTGCAGAGGTGCAGAAATACTTAGGGATACTGAAAAATTTGAATGAATACAAATGTTCACAAAATCGAGTTCTTTTATGTTCTTTTAATTTTGTTTGTTGTTCCATAATTTCAGTTTCCAAAAAATAAATCTAATGTATCTTTTTCTTCAAGTTAGTTAAGAATATAAGCTAAGCAGTAAAAGCAAAACAATTAAATAAGAAAGATTAAGATTAAAAGGAAATTAGTCTTCGTGTGTTGCCACTAATCTCAGAAGGTTTTCTCTTGTTTTTAAAGGAAGGCACTTCAGTTTTGATATTTGATTATCATAAGGTAAAAGGAGACATTGGGGTTCTTTTAGTTAGCTGGGATTTTTTTCTTAGTTTGGGAAGGGCAGGGCTTAAGACATTTAAACTTGTTTATTTAGCAGTATTGAACTGTTTCATTCCTGAGCACCATTACATCTTTAGTCACAAATTAAATCAATTTGTTGAATTACCATTCAATTATGATTATTGATGCCAAAGATTCCTCAGTCAGGCTCATCAGCTCAGAAGAGCATCTGTGCAACACCTAGTGGGAGTTCTGCAGTGGAGTTGCTTCCACCCTGTGCAGAAGCAAAGCTACTAAGTTCTACCCAACCTTAGCTCTTACAGTTCAGTGTCTACCAGTTTCACAAATGCTGAGAAGCATCACAGAAACACAATTGATATTTTGGTTGCCAGAGTCTATCCAGGCTCACATCCTCAGATGTCAGCTCTGTTGTCAAGGAGCCAAATGGGGTCAAGAGCACTAATATCCTTAGCCCTGGGGAGATAGGTGTGTGTGTGTTGTTGGAAATGGTGAAGTAATGAGATGAGGCAGGAGGTAACGAGGTGCGTGCTGATACAGAGGTTTCACATGGTGATTATTCTGGCCTAGTAAAAATAAGTAAGTCCAGTTCCAATCTGCATTGACTGTATGAATAATAGTCCTGGGAAAATAGGAAGGGCAGTTCAAAAAGCTGAAATACTTTGGGGTATGAGGATATACTTTGCAATACATTCTGTATTCTTTTGACTTTTGCACAATCCAGTGTTCCCTTTAACCCATTTGTTCTGAATAATGGAGAATTGACTCTGATTCTTTTTCCAAGTGAACTTCAAGGCATGCTTAATTGAGTGCTTTTTTATGCTTTAGCCTTAATTTAGTTTGCAAAGTATTTTTTCAATATTAATTTTTAACATATATTTTTGCTTGAAATACTTTGTTTTCTTGCAATGTTTTGTTTCATTTAAACGCAATAGACAATGATCTTTCAATTCAAAACCTTCCTACAATTGAAAAGTGAATTGAAGAGTCTCTCTCTTAATGAGACACCACCAAGTATTGTACTCAAAGCACATGGGAGCAGAGTAAAGAAGAGAGAAGTGATCTCATTTGTAGTTCCCCAAATAGGTCTCAGAGAAATATATATACATATGTACTTGTGTTCCCTAAAAAAAAGTAAATAGTGTTATTATTTCTAATAAATTTCACTTTTCAGTCAAGCAAACGGTATTTGTCTTTTACCAGTAGGACTATAATAAATATGTTTGCATTACTCTGAATAATTTTTTAAATATTGCTATTAAAATGTACATAAATCCATTAAGTAAAAGATTTCAAAATAATTGATACACCTCCATACAAGGCAATCGTGTCTGCTCTACAGTTGTTTGTTGTTCCTTAGTAATTTGGCAGAAAAAGACATTAAATCAGCTCAGCAACTGTAGCGCCACATTAATTGAGTGTACACTTTGTCCTTAGTGAAGAATAATTCTAGAGTTCAGTATTTCACCAAACAGAATTTCTAGTAATTTATAACTCATTATTTTATTGCACATTTGCCTCTTGAAAAATGATTTCTGGATTCCTGACACTATTGAGAATCACAGCATTTGTTGGTAGTTTTCAGGGAGAGAGAAAACTTTGGAATCATGATACATGTATTGTCTGAAAGAATAAAGAAAAACAACCTACTGTTCATACTGAAAAAATTGAATAAATCAGTTGTTTTTAGCCAGAGTCATAATAATTAGTTCATTTAAGAATTTTTGGTTTTCAACACTTTTGACTAGATCTTTTGGCTCTAAGGAGGCCTAAGTGTTGCACAAATGTTTTCATGGTATTGAGAAGCATTCTGAACATTTTGCTACCTTGTGTGAGAAATTGCAATGGAGAGAGAGGTACAAGGTAGGGGAATTAGACCGACTCCTGTATTTGCTATCTTTCTGTCACTACTTTGTTTACTTACCTCTTAATTTAAGGTCTAAAATGAGATATTAGGTGCTCTGTGAAGAGCAAGGCCCCAGCTTCCTTTTAAATTCTGAAAGAGCTCAGAAAGAACAGACACTTAGAGTAAATAGGTTTAATTTGCCATGGGCAATATTATACAGAAGCATTTGATCTCTGTTTTATGGTATGAAAGAGAATTTTTTCAATTTGCTTATGAAAAGATAAAGACTGTACCTCCTTTGTGATAAGTAATACTATGTGATACAAGCCATTTCTTCATGGTACAAAAAACATAATAAGATGCTATCTACTACACTGCTGCACTAAGGAAAAAAGAAACTTCCAGTATTGTCTTTTGTATTCCATACATATGTAGAAAATCTGTGAAAAATGAAATCATATGACAACCTGTTTCATCAATTGTATTTGCACATCTCAAAAAACCTTGGCACGAGGGAGGGCTTCATTGATTTTTATAGCTCTATATTGGAATTGTGTTGTGATTCACACAAGAGTGAAGATTTCTCCAAGAATTTGTGCTTGGGAATTGCAATGTTTGTTGGCTGTAAAAGTTAAAAAAATGTTCAACAGTTCACTTATGTGGGGTAGTATTGATGAATTTGTGTTTAAATTAATTTTTACTGTAAGTGAATTCTATGTATTTCTGTGACCATTTTATCATGCATTTTTCCATACAAAAAGCATACAGTAGGGATTTATTTTTAAAGCATTCTAGTCAATTTGCTTTGGGTCTGTTGACTTCACCCCTACCAGCAGCCATTTTGATGCAGTTTTCCTCTGTCTCATGTATTTCCTTGTGTCTGTTTACATAAGGTCGTGCCAATAGTCATACCTGTGCTCTTAGGCTGCTCAACAGCATTTTGGTGGTATGATTGTACTGTACTATGTTTATGTATTTCTACACACAGGTAATACTTCAGATGAACTGTGATGTTGGTATAAACTCTTGTGAAAATTACAGATGTAGTCAATCATTCTGATATCTACTAAGCTTTTTGAAAATTAAATCTATACACTGTATGTATTCTAGGTGTTTCACGTGGTCCCAGCCCTGTCAGCCTTGGAAACCAGGACACCTTGCCTGTTGCAGTAGCTCTTACTGAATCTGTTAACGCCTACTTTAAAGGAGCAGATCCCACAAAGTTAGTTAAATAGTGAATTGTATCGAATGTATTGAGTTACATTAAGAAAAGACACTGGGTCTGCTTTTCATACTGGGGGAGGGGAACGAGTATGCATTGGAAGGGGAATTCAAAGGGGTTTTTTTCCCCGGGTATAAATGTGGCTTGTTGCTCTATAATGCCAGGAGTTCATATATACCTGCTTTACAAAAATGTGTTCAGTGAGAGCACTAAGAATGACAAGGATTTTTATCATTGTCAGGTAGGTGTTACATGTAGTTTTGTCCAGCTAAGAGCACTTAATTCCCTCTCACATCCATTGCTGTTCTATTTAGGCCTTGCCTAGACAGAACCATGCCATATTTTCAAAGCTTGAAAAATATCCAAGACTACTGTATGCTTAAGCAGTTACAGGTTTTTTTCTTATTTCATCTTACTTCCAAACTGAAAGTGACAGTACATAGTCACATTACCATCATTTGAGAATGATTTTTCTATTTTTAATTCAGTTTATAAGATTGTAAAATTACAGTGGTTGCTTTAAAAGTAGTATTAGAGCTAGGCAGTTAATGAATTGCAATGAAGCTGATTTCTTAATTTTATTCTAGATGTATTGTGAAGATTACTGGTGATATGACAATATCATTCCCAAGCGGGATTATTAAAGTCTTCACCAGCAACCCATCTCCTGCTGTGCTCTGCTTCAGGGTGAAAAACACAAGCAAACTAGAGCAGATTCTTCCAAATGCACAACTTGTATACAGGTTTTGTATTTTTTTTAACATAATTGTAAGCTACATAATTTTGTAAAGTATGGGTCAATGTATATGTAAATCAGAATTCTTTGCAATCTGGTTGATTTAATTATATGTAATTAATTTTCTGAATTGATTTTGTTCAGCTTAGTTCTCTCCACTGCTACTATTAAAAATCTCAGTGATTACTGGACTTAGAACTTGTGCTCAGTATAACAGGAATGATAAAAACAATTTGTAAATGTGTCTATTTTCATATGTATTTTATAAATAATTTCTTTACACAGTAGTAATAATGGTAAAATTAAATGATGAAACAGTAGGCATAAATGGAAAACAAGTAGTAGGAGATTCATGTATTCTCATTTGCCATGTACTAGTGTATTTTAAAGATGAATCATTACACTAATCAGACTCTTTACATAACTATCTCTCAGATGGGTAGCAGCATGCTTGGAAGAATTTAGGAAAAAAGAGGTTGCTGATTGAGTAGGATAATTGTTGAAATTGTGCTTGGAGATACTGGTTTTTTAAAAAATAGAAAAGCTGGAATTTTTTAGCAGAAATTTCCATTCAGCTGAGCAGTTTCTGTTTCATTTCTTAGAGAAATTATTTGAACACTAAGCTAAATGTTTTTAAATGCTGTATTTTTTTAATTACTGAAATAATAAACCATATGCATGTATCCTTTTCTATTTAATTTCTTTAGTTCATAATTAATGTAATTAATACAAAATTCAAAATAATTCATACAAAATTAAGTTTAATCACTGTTTGATTTGACAGTTTATAACTGAAATGTTAGAGCTGTATCTGACAAAGTGAATTATACTGAAAAAGCATACTTTGCAAAAAAAAGTTAAAATATCTAGTATTCTTGAATGAGTTGTCTAATATTTCACCCCTAATTAATGATCTTTCTTTGTAGTGATCAGTCACAAAGTGACTCCAGTACTAAGGACTTTTGGATGAACATGCAAGCTATAACTGTCTACCTCAAGAAATTATCAGAGCAGAATCCATCTGCATCCTATTACAATGTGGATGTTTTAAAGTATCAGGTAAATACTTTTATCCTTTTGTAGTTTTTAAGGAATTCCAGCAGATATGATATATACCAAAAAATTGAAAGAATTACTCTTTGTCTGCCAGCATAGAGGTGAACTTTCGTCTTTCATCTAGGCCAATTCTGGGTATGTCTCTACTTAAAATGCATAGACTCTGCCCAGGCTTAGCATGTTCCTACTATGCTTCATATCAGTCCTTAAGATTCAGGGCTTGTTTCGGCTTGCTAATGCTTCAGCCCAATCCCACAAGCAATTTTCAAACACTGATTTTTTTTATATTTGTCAGCAAAGTCAAACTCTCCTTTAAAAGATTTGATGAAGACTTCTTGTAGTTTGTACTTGTACTCTCTGATTTTCCTGTTGCCTAAGTTTTGGATGCTATCACTGATGAATTTTAATGCATGGTTCTGGTCTGCAGTTGAGAGTAGGTTTAAATTAGATATTAAGAAAAATTCTTTGTTCAAAGGGTGGTGAGTCACTGGCACAAGTTGCCCAGAAAAGTTGTGTATGCCCTGTGTATCCCTAGCAGTGTTCAAGGCCACACTGGGTAGGGCTATGAGCAACCAGGTCTAGTGAAAGTTGTCTGTGCTCCTGATGAGGTTGGGTTGGAACTCTGATCTTTAAGGTCTCTCCCAACCCAAACCAGTCTGTCATTCTATCTGAGATGTATGACATTCTGATTTCTCTAATGTAATAGAGCAGGAGTAGTCAGAATGGATTTACTGAGCGTAAGTCATGCTTGACCAAGCTGACAAACTTCTATGGTGACATGACTGCCCCTGTGGATGAGGGCAGAGCAGTAGATATTGTCTGCTCAGAATTCAGCATGCCTTTCAACACCATCTGCCACAGAATCTGCATAGAGAAGCCGGTGAAGAACAGGCTGGATGAGCAAACACTGAGGTGAACTGAACCCCACAGGACATACTGATTTTACAGTTTAATAGCTTCAATAATGAATGATGGGACAGTCTGTGCCCTTGGAAGTTTACTGATGATACCAAATGGGGATAGGCCCTCTGGATACATCACAGGGTCATTCTGCCTTCTTAAGGGGGCTCAACAGGCTACAGAAATGGGCTGAGAGGAACCTCATGAAGTTCAACTAGAAGTGCACTTGGGGAGTCACTAGCTGTAAATTATCCTGGCAGAAAAGGACTTGAGGGTCCTGTGGGTTACCATGTTGAACATGAGCCGAACAACTCACTGCTCATGCTGCAAAGGCCATAGATTATCTCCTGGATGGTCTCCTGAGCTTCATTAGGCAAAAGTATTGCTACTAAGTGAAGGGAGAGGATCCTTCCCCTCAACACTGGTGACACCACACCTGGGTGCTGTGTTCAGTTCTGGGTTGCTCATTGCAAGTGGGACTGGATAGAATTCAGCAAAGGGCCACAAAGATGATGATGGGACTGGAGTATCTATCCCATGAAGAAAGCCTGTGAGAGCTGGGATTTCTAAGCCTGGAAGGTTCAGGGAAATCTCATCAATATGAGATTGGGCATATGAGAGGGGGCACAGAGAGGAAAGAGCCAAGCTGTTTTCACTGCTTGAAAAAGTGAAAAGTGACAGAATCAGAGGCAATGGACACATGCTGAATCACAGGAGAGTCCCTCTGAACAGCTAGAACTACTTTTTTTTCTTGTGACAGTGGCTGAGCACTGGGCACAGGTTGCCTAGACAGGTAGTGGAGCCTCCATTCTTGCAAACGTTCAAATGTTGTGTGGAGCTTAGGCAGGCTGCTAGAGATGGCCCTGCATGAACTGGAGGGTTGGACCAGACGGCCTCCAGGAGGTCTCTGTCAACTTCAGCCATTCTGTGCATCAGCGAGATGATGTTCTAGCTGTTAAAAAGTCTTCTTGAATATTCAAGACATACCTCAAAGGGAAAACAGGGACTTCCTAGGCCTGCCTTGAAATGTCTGAACATCTGAGACAACTGTATGCACAGCAAAAAACCCCTGAAAATTACCTGTCAGTGCAACTACATACCTCTAGTTTCCACATCTGCCTAGTATGGTTTAAAATCCTGGCATACTGAACCTGCAAAAAGCATGTTAGGAACACAGAATTCTTGAGAAAAATTGAAGGAAAAAACATTTGGTATGCTGAAATGAGTACTGTGTATTCTTGTAAAAATGTGGGATTGTCACATGGAAGCCCAGATAAAAAAGGTTTCGGACTGACAAAAAAAGGCAAGAGTGTGCACCGGGACACAGGAGGTTCCTCAAATAGATTGAGAAGGTGATTGAGATGCATCAGCACACTAGAATGAGCTCAGCTACAGAAGCAGCATTCAACTTTCCTGCAACAGGAAAATAATGCTTTATTAGCATTAGAGGTAAGAGCTATTCTGCCAGCTGCCTGTCCCATAATTACAGGTGTTCTCTGGTGCTGGCTGGTTGGGCCAGCTGAATTGGCACAGCACACAACTGCTAAGGATGAAGTAATTTTTCTGCAAGCATGCATCTTGCATAAGGCAGAACACAACAAAAACAAAGCTTACAAAAAGTTATAAAAGAGTAGGAAGGAGCTTCATAGGCCAGAGGGAATTTAAACCTTTTCTTTAAGTATTTTAATTTAAAATTAAAATAACAGGAATTCCTGTAGGCAGTAGTCTTCAAAATTCTGTGATTAAGGACTCAGGGGTCAATTTTTCTCTTGATATTTTGTCAGCACTAAGATTTATATTAATTACCATCACCCTCTAATTCTTTCCAAAAGGTGGATATTTTAATTAAGTTGTTTTCAATGGCCTATTCTTTTACAGGTATCTTCAAATGGCATACAGTCCACTCCCTTGAACCTTGCAACTTACTGGAAATGTGATGCTAGCACTACTGAAGTGCGTGTGGATTATAAATACAATCCAGAGTCTATGAACGTGCCTAGTATGCTGTCTAATGTCCAGGTTGTGGTACCAGTAGATGGAGGAGTAATAAACATGCAGTCACTTCCACCTGCAAAATGGTAATAATAATTACTTTCAGTATTTTTTCAGATTTATTTCAGTGTATTCTTTAGTGTCATAGCCTGAAAATTTTCACAGGAAGAAATAGAAAAATGTATACTATCAGATGTCTAGATATTTTGTGGTCTAAAACAGGTCATGTGCAACCAATTCACATAAATAGAAACAGTCAATGAGTATCTATCTCAACTGTGTAATAATACGAGCCTTTATGAATTTTCCAATGTTCTTTTGTCCAATAGAATAGACAATTTTAATACAGTAATTTGAAATGGTTAAACATTTTCTCTGCATGTGTAACAATGTATTCTTATAATGGGATTATATGGAAAAAGTAGCAGGCAGTTTTTAAAATGATTTCCTGTTTGTTCTAACTTAAAAATTACCTTCTAATGGAAATAGTTTTAAAACAAACCTCTATAACTGAGTAACTGAGGAGCTCTCCATAAGCCAGGTAGCACTGTCTCTCAATTCAAGTGTCATGCAGGTTATTAACCTAAGAGCTACCTGCCACCACCTCCTGAGCCTGCATTTACAGTAGCATTTCAAAGTGTGACATAGCAGGAAATTATGTTACAAGTTTGTGGAAACAAGTAAAGGGCAGTGGAACTAGACAGAGCAGTACAGCTCTAGAGCAAAAGGTGAGCAGAATTCAATCACTGTGCCTGTGCAGCATGTACATACTTGCCCAGCTGTAACATAAATCCTGGACCATTTATTCCCAAAATTATCTTTTTAATGTGAGCAGGGCAAAGAACACCAAGTTGAAGGAAAGTAGGCTTTGTTTAAAATTGTTTCTTATAGATCAGTTTACCTTACAAAGCAGGGTTTAAAAGAAAATTAAACATGATCCATTTATTGGGTAGATTTTGGTGTTTCTGGAGGCAATACAGTTACAGGTGTTTATTGGACAACTTAGTAATAGAATATATGTTCAAGTGGAAAAAAAATCCTTACAGGACTGAATCCTTCTTGACTTGGTATTTCAAGGAAACTACTTTTAACCAAATCTTAAGGTTATTCTGAACATGTTCAGTGTCCTGTCTGAACAACACAACTGCACTGTGGTGAAGCCAGTCTCCCTGCCCATGCTTCTTCCACAAACCCTCTGTAATGCAACCAGACTGAAAGTAGGAACACCCACCCAAAATACTTGGCATTAGCTGGGAAGACTTAGGGACATTTGCGTTAGTGGATTCACTTAGGCAACTTCCAAGGCCCAGGATTTTGAGCCTGGCAAGCTGACCAAAGGGGGGGTAAAAAAATCAGTTATGTCCCAGACAGGTGTAGTACTTGTGATGCACTACCTGTTCCATCAAGTGGATTGGGTGGTCGGGCTTTGCTCTTTTTTTAGGAAAGAAAGAGCTTTACAGCGTGACTTCATGTAAGTAAATGCTACTATATCTGCTACTTATGTGAGCATTTCAGTCCTGCTCCGTCAATGCCAAGAGCAATTTCAAACCTATCAGCACTTCATGCTGCTCAGAGCTTTAAGTTGTTGACTTTCCTTTGATGCAACTGCTCCAGGAGTTAAAATGCCCCGTCAGCTTAGACACTCTTGGTACCCACTTCTGCCCCTTTACAGTGTCTGAAATTAGCTTGAACAGAGTGTCACGGAGCCAATTAGTTTTACTAGAATGGAAATGGAATAAAATTCATGCTCCCAGGACTCTCACTTAGGGGAGAGCAATCAACATTGCTTGCCGTTCTACCATCCTCACGAAGCATCAAGACATAGCTTCCAGACTGCTGCTGGAGTAACTTACCTTTAAGACTGCATAGGGGTTTGAATTTTGGAGCCATAGGTGGGGGCACAGGATAGTGTTAAATGTGTAAAAAAATATGGCATAAAATGTGTAAGGGAGTGGGTTCTTCTGAGATCACTGCTCTGGAGTGATGCAGACACACCCTTCTCTTTTCTTTTTCTCCTGTAGTTTTCCACAGACTTACCTTAAAATGTGCAAATATTTTTATAGACTTCCATTTAGAGATGTCTGTAATATACTAGTGTAAATCAAGAGAAATTAAGTTCTAAAACCAGTCCTTATAACTAACCTACCATTCTCTTACAGGAATGCAGACCAGATGAAAGCATGTTGGAAAATATCTAACATTTCAGAGAAGTCTGAGAATGGAGGCAAGTTGAACTCTTCTGTTTTGCTTTCTTGTACAGAAAATTTTAACAAAAAAAAGAGGTGATCATTTTAGCCTCTAAGCCCTATAATTCCTTTTTACCCATTTCTCATGCTGTATCCTGAATACTAGCTCACCTTCTTCTCAATTAATTGCCTCCTGAGAGATTCCATTATGACTGAGATGTCAAAATATAAATTTAATTATTCGCTATACAAGAGAAAATAATGAATTACCCTAAAAACAGTTAATTGCTCTAAAATAGGGTTTAGATGGGATAGGATATTATTGCATTCATGCTATTTGGAAGTGAGCAGTTACTCAAATGAAAATAGGTTTAATATCTATGTCTTTCCACACATAGGTAATTCAAATACATTAGAAGGAGGTAAGTGGAAGAACCGGGGGTTTAAAAAAAAATAAAAAAATTCCAAAAGTTCTGAGCTTAGACATATTATTCTTGACCAACATTTTGAGTCTTGGATTTGACCATAATGACTCCAGGAAAACATTTAATCTATGCGCATCTACTCAGAGTGGTAATTTATACAATATTGTGTAAGGTACCAATAGTTGTCTTCTGCCCAGTGCCTTTGTCTGAGCTGTGGTTGATGTCATGACCCCTGCAGTCTCTACAGGTGCAATATCTTTCTGAAGTAGTACAGCAGCAAAAGCATCTCATCCTCAAAGCCTCTGTGGAGAAATGAACTACAAATGTAAAGGAAAGACCTTTAGTCCTGTTAAGAATTGAGTGAAGGGGATTGTGAAATCACAGATTTGCCTGTAAATATGACTGGTTTCGTATAGAAACCACAAGCATGAGAAGACAAGACAACTTCTATTCCTGCAAAGGCTGCAAAGTTGTGGTTATTGTTCAAACAGAATCAGACAGAATTTTATTGAACACAGGTGATTAGTCTGGTGTACATTGTCCTTTGCTAACCTCAGAGTTTTTTGCTATTTGTCTACAGCTCCATTGCATTAGAACTCCTTTTTTTATTTTCCTTTTTCAAAACTCTGTCTTTTTTTAAAAGGAAAAATCATACTGAAACAAAAATGCAGCCAGATGAAGAGGAACTGTACATTTGCAGAACAGCACAGAACTGGCTGCTAGTGGTACAATTTGCATCTTGTGTGTTGGCAGCAGACTTGCACATATCCCACTGCTTCTGCTGTATTCCTTCTCTTCCCTCCATCTTTTCCTCCCCTTTTCTTTGCGTATAAACATGCATAGTACTCTCAGTTCAGGAGGAACTTACATCAGCAACTGTGCTGATGTAGCACTTAGAGAAGCAAAGGGAGTGGTTGCGCAAACAGTCAATGTCAGGACAAGTGTCTTCAAGTCTTTTTTCCTGGTGGACAGCATGATAAAATTTTTTGGGTTTTTTTATGGTCCAACAGATTTTGTGATCTCTCAGCTGGAGAGAGATAAAACACAGAACAAACTTTCAAAGCACTTGAATATGAGTGTCCATACTAGAGCAGAAAGAATTTCCAGTTTACAGAAATAAGGCAGACCTACTAAAGAAAATAAATTGATCTTAAGTTAAATTTATCAAGAACAAGCCACTGCGTGAAATAATTTCTTTTGGTTCCTGCTTTTACCTCTGTATCATTTCAGTTACTACCTTTCCTTGTCATTTATCAGTTCTTATTGATAGGATTAGCAAGTTGGTTTAAAGTGAAATTATTCCATTAATTTTAATTTAAATCTCATTTTACCAGCACATTTTGCAAGAACAAGAAAAGACCTGTTTTAAAACTAGAAAGTAGTAGCAATGTGGGAATTTTGAAAATGCATTTCGTTGCCTACAGAAATGTACTTAAAGTAACTTTGAACTATTATTGCTTTATAATAGTATATAATAGTAAAGTGATGCCACTTCACCACTGTCTGAAAAAATCAACTGAAATTTGTAAGAAGTATTTAATCAGACTTTGTCTTTAATAGAAACATAGTAATTTCTTTCCTCTGGGTACATTATTGTAGAACTGCATTTCTTCCAATGTTTTTGTTCATGTACTTTCATCCAGACAGATCATGACAACTCTTAAATGTTCTGATGTGATTTCAAATCTGCTAGTGAAAAGCAAATAGTATCTCCTATCTATCAATCAGATACCATCTACCACAAGATACGTAGGGACCAGCAAGCATAAATGATTATAGGGACCGATCAGATAAGTAGTGATTACCAGGCTGATACCCACATTTTGGATAATCTTGCAGAAATTATACTGTTTCTCTTTAAATAATTCATTAGTCATTGTCTTAAATAGACTGTTGGGAAAAACAGACTTGTACACTTACCTCTTTTGAAAGTATATAGGACTGCCACTGGGAATAGATCTGAAAGGTCACTATATTAGTTTCACTTCTTACTACTAAAAATTTGGGGAAATCATTTTGTTCTTGCAAAACAATCGGCTTCTCAGTTTTGTTGTTTTTATAGGTTCTGGATCCCTCAGGGCAAAATTTGAGCTTTCAGGAGGACCCAGTAAACCCGCAACACTTGCAGTGCAATTCATCAGTGAAGGAAGCACCCTTTCAGGAGCAGATGTGGAACTCGTAGGCACTGGCTATAGGCTTTCCCTTCTTAAGAAGAGATTTGCCACTGGTAAGACACTGACACACTTAAATATTCAAATTAATTAGTGTTAAATTCTAAAATATAAAACTGTTTAAATGAGTGATGTATAAACAGTTGACTCTTTATTGAAAGACTTATGGCAAGTCAGTTTTGTTTTCCATAGTTATTCAGACTGCTTCAAGGAAAATATTGACAAAATCTGGTTTATCTTCTAACTGCAAAAATCTTTCCTTTGTTTTTCAGGACGGTATATGGCAGACTGTTGATGGACCTGTGAAAATCATCGGATCAGGAGTGCAAGAAACACACTCTGCCAGCTCTACTTTTCAAACACTATTTTAACATGCATTAATTTTTCCAAAATATTGACCTACTTTGAGGCTAAACTACAGAAAGTAAATGCACTTTTAAGAGTCATTTTGAAAACTTTTTATTACTTTACAATAGCACTGAAGTTAACTTCAACACTGTCTGTAAATGATCAACTGCAATACTTGGGGAAATTTGTTGAAAATTTAATAACTTTATATAGATGAGGTCAAAATAGTAATCCACAGTTGTAATGGAAGTATGAAATTTTATGTTGTACTGTAAACATTAAAACTAAAATGTAGGAGAGCTAGTAAGAAATATTTGAGCTTTTCATAAATAGTACTCATTTTTCAGATTCTTTAATAACAGCTTTTAATTGACAGTTCATAAAGATAGCAGAGTCCAAGTCCCATGTAGTTCTTCTTTCCATTCATACCACAAGACCAGCTGACTTAGAGATGTGTAAAAGTAACTTGGTGTCCATGTATCAGATATTATTAAAATGTAAGTTGTTTTATATAGGTTTTTTTTTTTCACTAAGTGCAATGTGCTACAAATTGCAAAACACAGCAGAAATTTACTTCTGCAGTTAGTAAAATTTTTTGGGCCTTGTGATTGTTTGAGTTAATGCAGTAGATTTAATTTATTTTTATATTAATTGCATAACATTCGTGCCTTTCAAAAAAGCCTGTGCCTATCCAATTTGTTACGTGCCTCACTTCCTTTTTCAAAGTTTGGCTCTTGATCAAAAAAGCATGGTGTTTGTATTACACACACAGGTTTATAAAAATTATTTTCACTGCAATTTATTTAGAAGGCAGGTTGGCAAAAACTGTAGTTTGTATTAAAATAAATTTGAAACACTGAATTACTTCCTCAAGGAATAATTGCAGTTAAATGTGGCTTTAGTAAAGGGAGCTGCATTTTGCAGGACTCAGAAACTTTTTTATTAAGTAATTTGAATGTCACCAAAGAGGAGAATCTGAAAAATCAGTGAAGGTAGGAAAAAAAAACTTCTAAAAGTAAACAGTGTTACTGTTTGCTTTGGCTATAAGTCTTCAGACTTTGAGTGCTTTTGGGGATGTGTGATGTGAATGTACACATAGTACTTCAGGAGGCATTTTAAAAGGATATTTTATGGCTGCAGGATGACAAATCCTGTCATATGTTCATTTTTTTTATAGCTACGATTTTAATATTTGTATTGTAATCTAATCTGCTTGCTACAGCCTAAGCACAGGGATGTGACACATCAGTAACAATTTTTTAAAGCAAGTCAGTAATTTAGAAAATTTTCTATGTATTTGTATTACCAAGTTGGTTTTTTGTAATGTTGAAATCATAAGCATTGGGGCAAAATAGTTCAATAACCTGCATGTGGCAATTTCAAGTGAACATTTAGCGTACCAGTATCTATTTCAAATTCTCTATTAAAACAGAAAAACATGCTTGAGTTAATTCATGCAAAGCCAGTAATGAATTTGACTGCTGAAGCTTTACATGAAATTATGCCTTTGTAGAAGCTGCATAAATCGTCATGTACACTTAACACTTTTGCCAGAGAGATTTTCATTTTTAGTACTAAGAACATATTGTACTGTAGATTTGATTGGAAGAGTGTATTTGGCTCCTATATTTTGCTAATCTTATTGACGGTAAATTTACAACTCATAAAATGTTAGTCTTTTTATTGGAATTTTAATTGTAACCTGCTTTACAATCAAACAGATTAACACAACAATATTTTATTAATGGAAACCCAAACCTATTATTGCCATTTTTAATCAAGTATTACATTAATTTCTAAGTCAAATGAAGTAGTTAATGCTTCAGCACTTTTAAATTAGCCTTCATTCAGGTGTTTTTCATACATTTGCATTGGGTGCAGGTTACAATTTTGAAGCCATACAAGTTTATATAGACATTTTGTAAAGAAACTCAAAAACAATGTAAAAAGTACACGTAGTTATCTGATTTTGAATAAAAAAAGTATGTAGCAAGCTGGTTCTTGCTTGTGTATACAGCAATATCACTCATAGCTGCCTCCTAAGAAAATTAATTTGTAAACACAACTCTAAAGGATCTGAATTTGTATGAATTGTTACTATGCTAGACTGTAAATTAGAGCATACAAGTTTATCTTTCAAAAATTGTAAATAATCTGAATTTTCATAAAATGTAAATTTCAAAAATTTGCACCCATAATAAACATGTAATATATAATTTAAATGCTGATTTATATTGTCTGTACTTTTGCAGTTGAGTTCCAAAGTTCTTCTAAGGTAACAGAGTGAAACCATGCCTGTATTGAGCATTTGAAAAGATTGATTTTTAAGTGATAAAGGATAGTGATCATTATGAACTCTTTCGTGTATTTAAAATCATCACAGAGAAGGTGGATAGAAAGGTGATTTCTCCAAAACCTTTCATCTTTAGTAAACTGAGGTGTCCGTAGTGCCCTATGCCTTTACTAAATTGATTTGCTTCACTAATGAATTAGATCAGGCAAAACTGTTTATTTGAGAAAAATCTTGATTAGAGGATATGCTGTCTGTAGTGCTATCAAATTCTGTACATTATGTCTTCGTTAGTAAGCCTATATCTTGTTTTGTGTGCAGAAGAATTAATGACAAGATTAAAGTAATTCTTTCTAATTTCTAATGTTCCACCAGTCAAAAAGAGTAGACAATTTAGTACTTCTTCAGCAGTCTGTATCGTTCAGTCCTTCTAAGCTTTGAGCACAGAACAGAAGTTGAAACTGAACAAATGTTTTTGAATCTGTTTCCTACTAATCCCAAGACCTGTAGAGGTTTAGTAAGTAATGACTTATTAAATTCACTTTCTCAACTGGTTGGATATCGCTGCAATAGAGGTACCATTCTTGTCATGCAGGAAAGCAGTAGTCCAAGGGCTTGATTCTTATCTTCTGCTGGCAGGCAGGAATGAAGAACACAAGTGCTTAGTGTTCAGACTGAATGGTCAATCTAACACAGTAGTCTGGTCTTCAACACTGGCCAAAGAACAGGCCTTAGAACTAAAGTGTCATTTGCTTCCTGCTCCCCCAGCATCTCCTTTATTGGTTAGGGATGTAAAAAGGTGCTGCTCAGTTCTTCTAGTATTCAGTGAACTTGAAGTGTAATATACCTGACAGAGGCTGCTCTGGCATGTCTGTTAACTCTTGTACCCACGTACTGCTCACAACTGCTGCAAACTGGATCATTACTGTCCAAACAGGTTTGTGATTATCAAAGTATACAATCAGGTAGTTTTTCAGGGAAACCTATCTCTACTGCTGCCAAATAACATTTATGTAGGGTATTTGAAGGAGCTGAGGTATTTGATTATGAACTGGAACAGTATGCGGGTTACATGTGTGGTAAGTTTTGCTGTTTAATTAAAAAGGAAGGTCTTACATCATGGCAAAAAGGATTACATTTCAAGTCTTGTAGGTTTGCAAAGCTTAAGATACACAGATGTTAAGATGCCTATCTTTAGTTTTGCAATTGCTAGATAATTGGTTTGCATTTCATTTGTTATGAAATGGAAATTATACTTAAGAAGCATGCAAGAAAAAAACTCAGGAATTCCTCCAAGCATAGCATAAGCTAAAAACAGTTCAAAGTTAGCAAACAGTTCAGTTTAGTAAAGCATCAGATAACATCTATTGTTGAGGTACCCTTGACTGGATTGATTTCAAAGTCTTTCAACTGAAAGCATAATTTTTATCTTTAATTTTACATATTATTACACCAGTAAGTAATCCTTCTCAGCTCCTTATGACCTCCATGTTTACTGACATGTTGATTTTTGGATTCTCCCTTAGTTCATTCAATAACCAATATAAGGCATACAGTCTACAAAGAATAAAATAATCTTAAAACATCATAGGCCTCTTCTGGATTACTTATTGAACATTTAATACTCTAATTCTGCATTTTCTGTTAATGCTTTTTTTTTATTTCCTTTGAATAGATTGTTTTTGTTTTTAAATCTGGGATTACTATTTTAATTACTGTGATCTAAAATATTTTTTTTGTTTGCCATTGTCTCAGCTGAATTTATTTTTAAAGATCTTGTTCTGTAACTTATTTTTAATTATTATTATTATTTTATTACTTAAGTAATAATTATTATTAGTAGTAATATTTTAAGAGTTATATTATTTTTATTATTATTACTTAAGAGGTTTTTTGAAAAAGTTAATAATCGTAAGCCATAAATCATGCCAATTTCACTACTCTAATTATTTAACTTTTCCTTTTATCATGTCCCAACCTGTCTCCTTGAAGTTCTGAGTTTATGCTTCAGAAAGTTAGCAGTGGTAATGTGTTCAGCAATGACTCAAATCTTACTCCATCCTGGTTAAGGAAGCAGCCCATTTTTGTAACTGCTGATTCTCCCATCCAGATGTCCCCTCCTACTTTGCTATTTGGTAAGTTCCTTTACAATATCCACAGCCTTCCCTTCTGTTTCCCACTCTTGTCATTGGTAGGTTATATAAATAGTCATCACTAATACAGAAACATTAAGGCTGACCCAGTATTAGTACGGATGACATTGTGTTCAGGTAGGATGCAGCAAAGCAAATTGGGATGGAAGAAAACCAAAACCTAACAGTGTAAGCTCAAAAACTGTTGTTTACCTTCCACCTGTGTTGAATTCTCTTTCTCTGGCACCTTACAGGACTATGGATTTAGTCAGAGAATCACAGACAGATGGCAGAACTTTCAGCCCCTAAACACCTGACCTCATTATTCAACACAAGTTTCTCATTCACAGGTGAGAAACCCTTGGCCTGTGTACGTGAATCCCTTTTCACATCTGAGCAGTCCCTAGACTGACAGCACACTCTTAAGTGCTCAGGTACCTGAGTACAGGAGGAGTCTTGTCGTCTGTGATCTGCCATCTCTGCAGCTGACATCCCTCTGAAGTCTCACCAAGTCTATTCCCATGGGTGGGCCGAGTACTATCACACTTTTTTCCCTGCTGAATATCAAAGTTCCATGCTCTGAGTCACTTGATTAGAAACAGTAGACTGGATGTCTGCTTCTAGTGGGATTACAGAATAAATTCAGTTTTATTTCAGGACTAAAATGCAGAAAATTTCTCAATGTAAAAACTGCATCTTGTACATCTAGCACAAGAAACTCGGGCTTCAGGCAGCCGTTGTTAGTCTGGCATAATTTTTTTAGAGAGTATAGAGGTAGTATAGAGCAAACACTACACTCACAGGAGATAGAATAAGGAAATTACAGGGAAAAATGAATGTGGGCACAAGTGTTCCCTACAGATTAAGGGGAAGAATATGTATTTGCCACAGCTTTCTCACAGAGGAGAAAACACAAAAAAAATTCATGATGATGGGCCATTAGAGCTAATTTCTTGGTATTTTGCAAGATACTTGAGACGACCATCAAACTAAATAGAAGTTGTATCTTTAATACGATGGGAGAACATGGAGGATGTCTCCTGTCCTAGCTATGAGCTAAAACTTGTCACTACTGCACATGCCTAATTACCAGCCTTTGCTTACAGGAAACAGTAAGTTTCCCAGTGAGAGAAATATGGAACCTGTACCTCATTTTCCTCAGCTATGTCCTTTCCAGATTGCTTAGGGTGGCAGTGCTTTTGCCAGCTGCTGCCCAAGGGATGCCACAAAAACATGCATTAGAATTCAAGACATTTTTGGCAAATAGCATTTTCTAGTCATTCCTCCAAGTGATTCTTCAGCTCAAAACAGTCCTACAGTAACATGGTTTTGATAAAAAGATGTGAAACCATATGTGTTACAGGAAGGAGTTCATCCCTCATGTAGGCAGCAACAGTGCAGAGTCTGGCTTTTCATGCTACTGACAGTTAGGAAAAATCAGCTGTTGTCACAAGTTGTAAAACAAGCTTTCAAAGAAGTGTTACACTATTCTTGAAGTGGTAACTGTTACCTCAGCATCAGTTTATAAGCAAAAAAATGTTCTGAGTTTTACCTGTTAAGAGTCCTTCTGGGCCCAGGAACATAGACTTAGCTATACCTTCTGTGCAGGTCATCAGTAAAGGTATTTGCAGAAGATACGTTCACTATTTTAACTACTGACAACAGTCTACTGTTGCCATTATTTTAGTGTATGAAGCAAAAAGACCTTGTTTGTAGGACAAGCAGCAGCAGTATCTGCTATGTCCTCTTCACAGAAGCTGTAAAGTATTCACAGCATATGGTGCCATAATACAACAGATTCTGAACAGAAGACAGATTTCTGCATCAACCCTGTAAAAGCTTGGTGGTAACTTGTAATCTTCTGCTACTCCATTCTGTGGTCTTAGCAGTTGGTTTTTTTCTGGAATTGTAAAAGCAATAGGATATTGTCAAGACCTTGGTTGGTGTTTGTAAGGAACAGTATTTTATCTGTTCAGTCAAAGATTAATTATACAATTGTTTTAAAATTCTTGTTAAGTCTCTTTTGGACACTTGCCTTTAGTTAAAGGATCATCTATTCTCTTCAACATTTAAAAGTGTTCCATACTTGCTCTGTACTTCCATTAAAGCTTAGGAAGCCCTTCTTTGTCTCTCTCCCAGCAAGGTAAGTGTTTTAATGGTTATTGTTGCCACTATCTATACTTAAACACACGTGAATTGTATATTTACAACAGATACACAATCATATCTAACCAGATATTTGCAAGTAATAATTCAAAAGAGTATTAGATCACATCAGGTATGTCTTTCATTGTTCTCCATAGATGTTACTGGATCTATAGAGAATACTGTTAGCATATACTCCACTGTCATCTCCATAACCCAACTACAGTAGTAGCAGCAATCGGGTCAAGGTGAAGAACATGTTAAAAATAGTGTGGGATTATTTCTATGGTGAAGAAACGGATGTAAGCCTCATGAAAAAAATCAGAAAAACACACAGCTGCTGGTAGGGATTATATTGGAACTACTTACAGTCTGCTTACACCTTGATTTACAGAGATACTGTTCACTTTCAAGTGGTCTTCTATTAGCCATCTTGGAGAACCCCTTTGAACACTTGCCTGAATTAAAAAATTCAGTGCTCTTGTACAGCAACATGTTTTCTTCTAGGAAGGTCCTAGACTCTGCAGAAGCTGCCACTCTTGCTGGCTTCAGCAGATTATGGGCAATTCATTTTTAGTGCTAGAATGAGCTCAAAAGTGGGGTGGGAGCATAGCAATTGTGAAAATAAATAAGCATAAAGGAAATGCTCTCTGATGCAATTGACAAAGAATAATAAATGATACCTCAAATTGCCTACGTGAACCACACAACCAAACATTAGTGACAATCAAGTCAGAATTACTTGATTGCATTTGTTGTTAGTAATCAAGGGGTATGGCCAGGTTTTACTATGGTCAACTTTTAGATTTTTGGATATGCTCTTAAAGCAGTAATCCCTTGATTGAGATGTCTGCTGTAATTGAACACAACCCAACTGGTTTCCACTACTTCTTGATGAGCCAGTTTCCTCAATAGCTAAATATTGTCAAAAGGCATGGGCCAAGCTACTCATCTTCACTAAACACCACTTGTATCAGCTTTGTACCACCTCTGTACATATCTGCTTGTGATTCAATTTGCCAACCAAACATAAGTCAAAGCCATAAAACAAGAAAATTCAGTTCTAAATTAAGCCAACTGTACCAACTTGCAGGAGGATCTGGCAAATAGGGATTCCTGACATATGAGTAGAGATGGGATAGAGAATGAGATCTCCCAATTTAGACAGCAACATCACCAGCCCAGGCCACCAGTTCACTAAATCACAGTCAGAGATGGGAAGTAAAAGCAGCTGGTTCCAATGATTTAAGGAAAGGCTTCTCTTAAAAGTGGCTTTAAATCCTGAAATTATTCAGTATTATATACAAGATTGGTAAGAAAAGAAAATTAAACACAGGGGTAGGAAAATTCATGGAGATAGTTTGACTGAGGGTGATAAATAGGTGTTTGCTCCAAAAAAAACAACAAAAATGTTTAACTTCTACTGTGTTATGGGATCCATACTAGCTGGAAATGCCAGAATTGTAAAAACAGAAAGAGTGAGAAAGAAAAGTATTCAGTAAATTTTTTGCCACATCTCTTAAAGGCTATCTATATCATGTAGTCACATGGTGAAAATACTTTGCAATCCAAGAATATCTAAAGAGAGATATTAATACATCATCTACTAAAGCTAAATACTTTTAAACCAGCATATCAGATAAACAACATCCAATTAGGAAGTTGAATATGCCATACTATGGATCATCAATTTTTATATCAGTGATTCTCAAATACTGGAAAGGATTAGAAGATTAAAAGAAAGATAACACCATTATAGGGAAAAAAAAAAAAGGTGTCAATCCAAATATCTGTAATATGGAACTTGGTGAGAAAATAAAAAAAAAAAGAAATTAAGATAATTAGTGTCAATCATGGATGTACCAAATAAAGGTCTTAAACTAATTTAGGATTAAAATCTGGATCATAAGAATAATAGGGTCAAAGGAAAAAAAGGATTTATGTAAGATGCCTGATTTAGAAGTGTGTAACATTGGGTTTATAACTAGAGCAATGCAAGAACATAATTAAAAAATTAGTCTTAAGATGTAACTGAAGAGGGAATCAACTTTAAACACCATTCTGGTAGACTCCTGCAGAATTCATAATATCTAATATTTTTCCAGTTACTGATGTTAAAAAACCTGAAGCTTTGCAAATGACAAAAGGCTGGAGGACAGAAAAATAAGCTAGGTCTCAAGAGCAATTCTTAGCCACTTCACCATCATCCAAAAGAGCAGGAGAATGTTATAGTATCAAATACGTAGGGAGAAAAGAACATCCCTTTGGGATAACTAAGAACTTTCCTGAACTATCCTTAAAAAGCCATCCAGCACTAGATCTTGTGAAAAGTCTGCAGATGAGACCCTTAAAGACAAGTAAGATGTCTGATGTGATTCAGGCACATATTATGGACCAAGTCAAATGTTCTTATACCTTCATTAAGAGCTCTATCACAAAACTGAATTCTACACACTATAATATAGTCATGTACTGTGCAGAGAAGACACAAACCTTGGTAGAGCAGTGTCCTAGGCACCTTCTTCATATGTTTCTGAAGTCTCCTCGCATAATCCAAGATGTATCAGTGATTCCCTGTTTGGAGTATAGTGTAAAAAGGGAAATGGACCATTTGTCAGAAAAAAAAGATACGATCAATACTCAGAAATTCGTCACGGCACATAGACCAATCTTCTCATCTCTCAAATCTCAAATCTCTCCATTTGTCTCAAGGCTTTCAGAAATTACTTCTGGCTACAAGTTTCCTCAATAAATAAGACAAATCTTGAGTCTGAGAGAATTCAACAACCTGTAGTGCCACACAGACATTTAATATCTTTTAACATTGGGAAGCAGGTAGCTTAGGTGTGTGGCAGCAGCATCCCAGAGGTACTGTTAGCTAAAGAAAGGCTTCCAGCTCCAGTGCCTGGATACATCCATGCACAGACATGCACCTGCAACACTCAGAAGAAACAATAATCTGCTTACTTCTGTGATGATGAATTACTCCATTAGGGAAAACAAACTTTGAGACTGCATGGAAATGAATTATCATCATCTATAACAGCAAAATAAATAGATAAAGTAAGCAAAATATCACCAAAAAATCAGCTTAGACAAGGCCCCCCCTACAAAAAACAACAACCCAAAACAATCCAATCAAAATAACATACTGCATTTATAATCATGTGTGAATGTACTAGCCATGAGAAAGATAAAAATCTTTATTTCTTTTTCAAATTTTTAAAGAAAGCACTAACATGTTAAATGCAGACCTAGACACATTAATCTTGCTATTATTTACCTTCCTTTAAAATCAATATGGAGGCTATTGAACAAAAAGCTGTGGGACTTCCAAAACCAGTGGAATAGAACACCAGTGATTTGAGTCTGTTTCTTCTGTCAAAGTCTAAGGAGTTACTTCATCTCAGCTGATATGAACCTAGGTAGAAAAACAGTATTCCATGTATGGCAAAAGCACTGTTGTCAGAAAAAAAAGTTGCCAGAAGGTCTCCCCATGTTCTATAGAGCCAATGTCAGCCAGCTCCAAGATGGACCTGCTACTGGACAAGGCCAAGGCCATCAGTGACTGTGGCAGAACCTCTAGGGTCACATATTTAAGAAGAAAAACTAAAAAAATTATTGCACAGATAAAGTTGCAGCCATGGAAGAATGGAGGAACTTGAGATCCATAGTCCTGGTAGGACTTGTGACCCTGTGGAGAACCCACACTGGAGCAGCCTGGCCTTGAAGAACTGCACCCTGTGGAAGAGGGACCCCTATTGCACCAGTCCCAGAGAGCTGTTGCCTGTGGGATGGACTCACATTTCATAAGTTCATGGAGAACTGTCTCCTGTAGGAGGGATCCCCTGTGGGAGCGGGAGAAGGACTCCTCTGCCTGATGGGCAGGAACAAAGTGTGATTGTAACCCTCATCCCCCATCCCTGCACTACTGTGAGGAGGCAGAGCCTGAGGGGAAAGTGGTTTTAAGACTTGTTTTACTTCCCATTGCTCTGCTCTGATTTTGAGTGGTAATAAATTCAGTTGATTTCCCCAAGTCAAGAGTGCTTTGCCAATGACAGCAAGAAATAAATTATCTCTCCCTCTCCCTGTCTCCTCCCAATCCAGGAGACTTGTTATATCCTCTCTTCCCTGTCCAGCTGAGGAGGGGAATTGCAGAGCACCTTTGGTGCATGCAGGACCTCCAGCCAGGAAGTGAACAAAATATTTATCAAGCCAATAATGTTTGGCGCACAACCTCATAAAGTTCTGCTCTCTACTTTGATAGAGATTATTTTCTATTCAAGAGATATTATTTTCTATTCAATGTGTCATGTCTATCCAAGAGGGCCAAGTACAGCATTCTTCGGTCTGATATAGCACACTGATGGTCGAGGGTGACAATGTCTCTTGTATAAACATTGATCCTTTCACTAAGATACATGTAAACCAGCACATTTTAACCACTCAATCATTTTTGGTAGTGCAAAAATCAAAATTATACATCTCATTGTATGCTTGAAAACAAATCCTCACCTCTCAGTTGGGACCTGTTCTTAGTACAAGAATTCAAGGTCTCACTTTTATTTAAACTATGCTGTAATTTTGGCAAGCATAAAACCAGCATCTACAGTTCTGTGAAACAGATTTGGGTGGGAGTACAAAAACATCTGGATGCAGATTTCTAGTAAACCAAAATACAAATGTCCCAGGTCACATAAAGTAAGCAGTCTAACCTTATAGCCTAGAAATGAACAATCGGTCCCTGGAGCCACAGAATCACAGAACTGGAAAAGACTTATGGTCAAGTCCAACCACTAAGCCAGCACTGGCAAGTCAACCATTAAATCATGTCCCAAGTGCCATGTCTGCATATCTTTAAATTTCCTGCAGGGATGGTTTCCCCACCATTTTCCTAAGCAGATCATTCCTATGCTTGGCAACCCTTTTGGTGAAGAAGCATTTCTTGATATCAAAACCAAATTTCCCCTGTAACAACTCAAGACTTTTTCCTCTTGTCCTATTGCTTATCACCTGGGAGAAGACACCAACCACCACCTCCTCACTCCTTTCAGGCAGCTGTAGAGAGTGATAAGGTCTCCTTCTCTCCAGGCTAAACAACTCCATCTTGCTCAGCTGCTCCTCACAGGAGTTCTGCTCCAGACCCTTAATCAGCTTTGTTGTCCTCCTTTCGACATGCTCCAGCACCTCAATATCTTTCTTGTACTTTCTGCTGAACTTGTGCTGCTTACTCATGTACATTTAAAAGCTAAGGGAACTCAGTCAATATCACACATATGCACACAATCAATGGGCACCTATGATAAAACCTTGAACAGAAAATTACATGTGTTTTAAGATTTCAAAAATGCCCTTCTAACACATGGAAGTAGTTCCTCAAGTTCAGACTGCATCTCTACATGAACTGGATGAGAAGTAATAGAAGACTTTTGCATTCCTCTTTCCTTTCTTCCTCCACATGACTGAGCTGCCCTTATGCAGGATTCAATTCCTGACTGGGAGCATAGCCTTCAGCCCAGGAAGGCTGTCTGCCCCAGACCTCTGTTCTGAGAGGTCCAGCACATTGCCTTAGGCTCACTTCCTCATCACAGTGTCATCACAGCACAGTGATAAAGCTTATGGGTTTCCAGTGCTACCAACTTAAATAGCTGTCATGCCTTTCTCCTAAAAATCAAATGCAAGCACAATGAACAAACCCAACATATTAAGATACAGATTTGAGATATGGATCTACCTCTCCTGGAAAAAACACAGCTATTTGATTTTTATGAGAGTTAATGCATAACCTCTCTGAATTTCATTAATTTTTAATCTCTTCTCTCTCACTTCCTTTCAATACTTACTGGGGGCTTATAAGACAAATGGGTGTAGACCTTTCAGCAGGGCCTGTTGCAATAGGATGAAGGGTAATGGTTTTAAACTGAACTATGGGTAGATGTAGAGTAGGTTTAAGGAAGAGCTATTTTTTGGTGATGGTGATACAGCACTGGAACAGGTTGTCCAGAGCAGCTGTAGCTGCCCCATACATGTAACCATTCACAGTCAGATGTGACAGGGCTCTGAGCAACCTGATCTAGTTGAAGATGACCCTGCTCATTATAGGGAGGCTAGGATAGATGAACTTTAAAGGTCCCTTCCAACCCAAATCATTCTGGTTCTGTGGTTCTGTGATTTACTAAGAGAAATACTGAAAGTCTGTTTCATTCACACACTTTTAGATGTGTGGAGCAAAGAGGTTGGGAAAGATGACTTATTAGGAGGAAATGGTGACCATCAGCCAAGTCACGGACACTCCTGGCATGACCAGGCTCTGAAGAGAGCAGTCAGCTTGGTCTTCTTGGGTCTTTTTCTGTTGCTCCTGAGAAGGCATCATCACAGGTCACTAGGATGCACTACATGTTTGTACCATGTACTACAGTACAAAGACACAGGTAGCTACTGTTTTGTGGGGAGGGTGTCAGTCCCCCATTTATCCTCCCTTATAGTACAGGCAGCAACATACTCTTTCCTGTGGTTCTTTTGGAGCTATCCACTGGACTACACAGAATAACTGTTTCAGGATTAATTAAGTTTGGTTCCAAAGCTTAACGAATGTTGGCAGCAATGGTTTTGTCATTTCTACGCTTATAATTGACAATTTTAACAAAATAAACATTTTATAGATTTGTATTTCTAAGTATAGATATTTTGAGTCTACCAGAACCTAAATAAACCAAAACACACAGTTCGTTATTCAGTTGAGCTTTGCACTTTCTGTGCACATCAACTTCTTAATGTGAACTGGCTGCACACAACTTGGTGGGAACTGGAGAGCTGTGGGACTCTTGACTTCTGCATCATTATCTCGTTTGAGATACCATCACAGCAAGCAAGTGGCGATTATAAAGTGAAATTTACCATGAATTTCCTCCATGCACTCCTTAGCAGCTCCTCCTTCAAAGTGTACCAACACAGGGTCAGCTGTCGTTGAAACAAAGCAAGTAGCATCAGCCTTGATTTAAGGATCTTCTACAAAGCTTCAAAGTGTGCTGTGAATTATAAATACTAGGTATTTCTATGATGGTTACATTTTCACTAGGACAGTTTAGAAAAATCTGGAATCTCTCACTGGGTTTTCAAACTTCTGAAAATATTCTGCAGACTGTGCTTAATGTTTTGAGCTGAAGCACAGTCTCAGCACATCCAGTATGTCACATGTCTAATTATAACAGCTGTGGTTTTATTGACCCATCTTATATTGCACACAACTTACCAACATCTCTTCCAGACAGTAGAATACTAATCTAGAAGTGACCAGCATTTGTGCCCCTGTTTCTAGAGTTCATCATCTTTAGGCAAACAATTCAAACCAACTGTCTTTGGCATTTTTAAACAAGTTTTCTAAATTAAAAAAAAAAAAATAACATGAATGCAAAGTTAGTAACTTTCATTTATATTTCATCAGATTATTGCTATAAGTAGTGGCTTCCATCAAAATAGCCTAATTCCTGATCAATAAATCATAAGCAATTATATTTCTCTGCTCATCATCTCAAATGGTAATTTTGTCAGTGTCTTCATAAGTATTATTGACTGTAACCCAAGAAACTATTTCAAAAGCAGTGACTTTCTGATAGCTCTGGGTTCTCTTCATACTCCAGCTGTGAATCCACTGCATTTTTTCATAGCTCTAGCATTGTTTTCCATGACAGTCAAAAGTACTATAATTTCTCTACCAGCATTAACATCCAGAAACTTCTGTCATACAACCATATCCAGTCTTAACATAAAAAACTCTCTCAGTACCTTCCTGTATAGTAAAAACTAATATGGCTCTCTATTTGCCAAGTACTTACGTACTTACACCACTTACGGTGTGCACTTAAAATATACATTACTTGTAGTTCAACAGCTACTATTTTAAAAGTTTGAAAAAATACAGTCAAAAAATAATTCTTATCTTAAATCACAGTATATGGCTCAAGATTACAGTTTTATGACTGCAGTCCCATGGCTGGAATCAACAGCCACTTAATGAATTGAAAACTCAAACCAGCTGAGTCAGAATCTCAAAAACTGAAGAATCTTTCAATCTTTCAATCCCTTCTTTCATCATGGAGGTCAAGTCCTTAAGCCCAAGACTATGAGAAACCTAAATGGTGGATGGAGGGGAAAAGCTGATGACAGGCTTTGTAGACAGAAATAATTTTTAGGTAGATACAAGCTTGTTAACTGTTATGACTGACTTTTTTTTTTTTAAGTGAAATTCTTGACATGTTAGGTTTGGTACAAGAGGTATTTACATAAAATAAAAAACTATGTAACAGGAAAAGAGAACATATATCATAGCAGTGGGCCAATAATTTACTAGTATCAGAGAACCGAAGAAAGCTTAGTCTGACAAAATATTTCATAAAAAATATGCACTATATAAGTGTTTTTATTAATTATTTAAACTCTATGTTGAAAAAACAATAGAACCAGAATCAGGTATTAGAAAACTGACATATAAACATAACTAAATCTCCTTGTGTCACTGTTGTCAGACTTCATAAAATAGTCTGATTCTACTTTTGATGCTCTCTCTTGGCAAGAATTCATTTTCAGCTTGTGTTTTTAAACAAGCACAGCTCATTTTCTTTTGTTGTCTTCAGATTTTTTTTTTTCTAAATTCTTCACTGGAATATTTCCCTTTTCATAGAATATAGGAATTGTTACTTCCCAGTCTCCTTACCATGAGACCCTTCACAGTAATACTGTGTTATACAACTGAAGCCCTTCCAGTCAATGGTAGCTGAGCCAGGACAGAAAACAGTTGAGAAACCAAAGGGTCTACAGTTCTGGAAACCTTGAAGCCTGCTACTCCATGACAAGCTCCTTCCTACACCCAACATATATTTTCATACACTCATTGGCTATTCAATCAGTTCCAAATTTCCCTTGCTCTTTACCCAAATGCAGATTGCCTATGAGAAGCAACACAGAATTTTCACCAAACTGTACTGTCCAACCAAAGCATCTCTCTGTCAAGCAAGACTGCTCACTCTCTTTTCCTCTTGCCATCTATTTTCCCAGCATCACTCCAACCCTGTTCTGGCTCTTCCTGTTTTGACTCACATAAACCCAAACAGATTCACCCACACTTCACTGGCTACCAGGCTGCTGCTAACCAGCTGGGCAAACTGCAGTCACATTGTCCTGGTCCAGCCACTGCTACAGCACTTAAAAATGGCCCAACTTGATCTTCCTTCCCTGGCGCCTTGTCTACTCACACAGCTGCTCCTTGCACCTCACAACCCTCGTTTCAGCTACCAAAGCCAGCTTCTTTGTCCTTCCACTGCCTATATCTGGCAAGAAACCATCTTCTTCCATTTCCGCCAGCTAAAGTGGCTCACCACTGAGGGAGATCTGTCACATCTAGCCTCAGCTTGTCTTTAGATTGACTAACAAGTTCCCAAGCATGTGGAGTAAGGCAAGTGTTGTTAAGGGACGACAACACAAAGGGCTCTTGAAATAGAGCCCAAGGCTGTGGGTTCAATGCGTGTATGGGCCATTCACTGGAGAGGTGCACCCAATTTTCCTTACGGGTTCCTTTCAACTCAGAATATTCTGTGATTCTGTGAAATGAGAGAGGTGGCACTAGCATCCTGAGGGGGGCTGCTCACCTGCCTCACCTCGAAACCGTGCATATTTCAGGGGCACACTTGACTTCAGCCACGTACCCCTGACTCCAGAGTTACCGTGCCCCGCGGGCTGCACCGACACCCGGCCCATCGGCCGGGAGCTGTCCCGGCAGGGCAGCGAGGCAGCCGCCCCGCCCCGGGGCCGCCAGGAGCTNCCCGCCAGGGGCCGCCGCGGGCGGGCGGGGCCGCGCCGCGTCTCCCCTCAGCCGCCGCCATTCCCGTGTTTTCGCCCTTATCCAGTGTGTGTGAGAATTATCCGGGGTGTAAGTGGCCTGTCTTCTCCCTGGAGAGCCCACCGCTCTCCACACCGCTTCCACACTGCGACCTCTACGCCAGCCCTGAGGGAGGATGGAGTATCTCTGAAGGGGCTTCTGCAGTTATTCTGGCATGCAGTTCTCTCGTGGCTGATGCTGGTGTACAGCTGGGACGGCACAGGTGAGGAGGTTCAGGTGCTGCTCCGTCACGGAGAGGTGGTGGAGATGTTGCCCTGCGTCGCTCCTTGCTCCGGTGTGATGCATGGCAGCTTTTGGGGCATGGTCCATCTTCCTGAAGTCCTTACTGTGACTTAGAAAACTAAGTGATTTAGAATAGACTATGCCTGATGGACTGGTGCATGAGGAGGAGTGTGCTATGGAATGCTGCTTTTCCTAGACGGAGTAGAGCTTAATTGCTTGTCCATTAAATTGTCTGGCTTAATGCCCCAGGCCAGCCTCAGGAAACTGGGACAGGATGGCTTTAAGGTAGCTTTTGCAGCCTTACGTCTCCCTGATGGTTACCATGGCCTGTCCTGTGGTCAAAGATCTGTAAGTCTTTTTATCTTGTGCCTTTTGCTGCTTTGAGATATGTCAGCACCCTGGAACAGACCTTAGTATGAATTTCCAGAAGCTGATCTGTCATGGGTTAGCTGTTTGAAAAACATCAGCTCTGGTGTTAACTGTATCTGTCTGCTTTCTCCCTAGTCTCCCTGCTGTTCTTCAGAATATTCTTTGCCACAGCTCTTGTGTGCCACTAGTGTCTCATGTAAAAAGCATCCCACCAACAAGCATGGGACCCTTCAGAGCTCATTTTTGCATCTAGATGCTGTCCTAGTTGCCTGAATGGCATCCAGTCAATTGGTTACCAAGCTTTGCTTTGCAGGCTTCTCACCTTTCAAACAGACTGTTGGGGTCTTCCTGTCCAACTGTTGTGTCAGTATTCTTCCTGGTGAAGTGAGTGAGGAATATTTGTGGGCCATCTTTTGCTGCAGCTGCTTTGTTCTTGTAGCCTGCAGGGACAGGAATTGGCAGCTTTGCAGAATGCAGTTCTGTGGCACAGTCAGAATCCCTGACTGCTGATTTGTAGTGAGAAGGATCTCTGGTACACATATCTCTGGAGGGTGGCAGGATTCATCCCACTTTCTGGAATTTCCTACTGCAGCTACTTTCCAGTACTTCTCCAAGTGGCTTCTGCCTATCTGCAATGATCATAAATAACACCACAGCATTGCTCTTCCTATACTGTAAGCTGAAACAATAATTTTGTTGACCCATATGGGCAGAGTACTCGTGGCATCCACTCCCAGCTTAGGAATCTTTATATGCTTGTCTAAATCTTGAAGTCTTTTACAGTATCCGAGTCTTATGTTCTGTGAGATAAGAGCACTGTCAGGTACTAATTAGCAACTACATATGTGCATAAATTGCATGTATTTGGCATCTCAGAACTTGTTACTGCTTATGGTTTTGTTTCTTAAAAGTAGAAAACTGAAAGTACATCCTGTTGACATTTCCCACTAGCTCTTCAAATAAGTTAAAAACACCATGGGGAGGGAGGAGTGTTGGAATGAAGGTTGCGCATTACAATTTAGTTCAACCAGCTATGTATGAGTGTCTTTGAATGCCAGGTTAAGAGTCCAGTACAGGGGGAAGCTGGGATTTAATGAAGAACAGAAAATGGTGTGGGTACAGAAGCAGATACGAGCAAAGCAGGAAATTCAGGGATATCAAAAATTCATGTTTTGATATGGAAATTAAACTGAATGAAGTTGAGAGCATTTTTCCTTACAAGTAGGTTGACTAATAAGTCATGGTTTAATTTGAAACCTGGGGGGAAAAAATATCACAAAAATAATTGCACAATGGTAGTGGCAACTTCCTGGTAGTAGTTCAAAACACAGGTGAAAAAATGGAAAAATTAAAGTCCTTGTAAAGGATGGCTTATGAATTCTAACAGGATTTCCATTGTGGACTACAACTGACAGAATATTATAGTTTTTAAATAACACAGACTAGACCTGAAACTTCTGCATTAAATGATTTGTGTACTTTCGTAAGCAAAAAGAAGGGGAATGGGACCTACTTTGGGAAGGATAAAACAGAGGGAGGCAATGTTTTAATTCTTCCAATACTTTTCTTCTAATTCTGTTCCTGAATTCATGATGTCTGCATGAAGCTATCAAATTTCTTATGAGTAAGGGTGAGTAAATTCATAGCCCTGGTGTTTGCAGTGGAAATCTTGGAAAATGTGAACTCTGAAGGCTCAAGAAAAATTGTAGGAATTTTTTTTTAAATTCTTGGAGTTGTCCATAATATGAAAGTTTTAATACAAGTGTTACACAGAAAAAATAGTAAGAAATTGCAGAGTTATTTCCGGTTCTATGTACCTGGCATAGGCCTGATTTACAAAAAGGTAAAGCTCTATATCATTTAGGTTGAGCTTATAACCAGACTTCCTTTATAAGCTATGTTTCCAGTTTGCTCTTCCCATCCTACCTAACAACCTCTACATTACTGGATTGTGTTTTAATGGTTTCTGACCTGTTATTTCCATGTCTACTTTCAGACTTGAGTTTAATATGAAGGGAAAATTCCTTTACATCAATATGCCTATGGAGATATGCGATCTGGTGGAAGTATTTCAAGCACATAGACAATAAAAGACTTGCCTCTTTGTTAGAATACTTTTTCTTGAAACACAAGAAATAAATTTAATCTTGCTTTTGGTTTTCTGGTAAAATTTAATGGTAATATAAATGGAAATTCCCTTGGATTTTCCAGCATAAAATCTATGGCTTTCATCTTCAAAGCACAACAGACTGTACTGAGTGTTCCTTCTTTTGTGGCCTGAAAGAATGAAGAAAATATGTACATGCTTAATTTCTAATGTGTATTTTAGCTTAATCTCATAACAACAAGATTGATAGAAAAGAAGCAGACACTGTGTTGGAGTAAGGAGGACACATCTCCAGATCTTTTTTGTAATGGATATATAGTTGAATTTTTTTTTTTTGCCTTCATATTATTTTACTTTGTTCTAATTTGCTTGTATTTAAGTCCATGTTTTCTTTTCTAGAGGGAAAGAAGGAGTTCAGAGTTCTGCAAAAACTAGTCCTGCAAGAGTTCTCTCTAGAGTGTTGGTGGAGGATTTATTTGTTTATAAATATTTATTTATGTGTTTGTGTGTTTCAGAGGTGTTTTACTCAGCTTTGCTTATTTGGTAAGTCAGTGTCATAAGGTGATAGTCAGGACGCCTGAGCCAGCTCAAATAATTTATGAGAATAGGTCATATGTAGTTATGAGAAATAATTTTATTAATTTAGCAAAGTCCACTGAAATCAAAGAAGTGACCATCCAAGTGCATTTTTTTCTGCCCAGTAGAGCCTTCAGACTGACTTCAGCTCATGCAGCATTGAAAGTGTGCTGAGCTAAAGGTGTTCAGTTTGAAATCGATCAGGATACATTCATTTTTTAAAATTTTTTAAATTTTTTTTGTGTGTGACATGCTGTCCTATCTTTTGTGCTCCCTATAGCTTTTTTTTCTCCCAGAGTAAATCTGACTCTTCTAACAAGGGACCCTTAGTTAGCAGTTTTTCAAACCAATCTTAGTAAAGGGTTCTCAGTAGACTGAATTCAAAACACTGAAGAACCACTTAGCAGTCACAGTTTGCAAGGTAACTACCTTGCACAGTAATGGAATGCATTAAGGGGCGGTCCCTCAGTTTTGCTGTTCAAGATGGCCAGCTAAGAGACTTGGTTGCTTCCTGCAGTGGCCTTCTTGCTGTGTTTCATGCTGCTCAGATCTTGTGGTTATTGTGCCTTTTACCTGTATGATGCACCCTGCTTTCTCCTGTGCTTTCGGGGGGCCTGGTTTGATGTTCAGCAGTAAAACGTGTAATAACTTCATCATTTGTGGATCTGTTCAGCCTGTTCTTTAATTGGGTTCTACTCGTAAAAATCGCTGAGTAGTGACTCAATACCTTGCATTGCAGGTAAATATGTGTTTAATAATTAAGTGTTTGAGTCACTAGTGAGTTCTATGGTTGTGTTTTATTTTTGTCCCAGTGGGGCACTGCAGTTCCTGGGGAGTGACACAAGCCTTGTCTCACTTGTAGCTGACACATGTTCAACAGTTTGCTTCCAGAAATCACATATACCTTGTTTTCTTGTACCAGAGGCATATGTAAGGAGGATCCAATCTAATTTGATTTTTTATCTTCCAGTCATCTGAATTAGTAGCAGGACAGTAGAAGCTGGTAGAGAAAAGGCTGAAGGTTAACTAACAAGCAGCAGTACTAAGCTGATTCCCTGCTTCCATCCATGACAAACTGCACCAGTCCCCATATATTGGTCTTACATATCCAAGACACAGGTTAAATTGTCTGTGTTGGGAGACTGCTCATGAGGGGAAGAGGGCAGAGTCAAAACACTGCAGCATAAGCATGCTTCAGTACTTCCTGCACTTGGTAGGAAACACCTTTCTCGTGGTCTATCCATGAGACTTGTTATTTTCCATAGTCTGAACTTCCCCTGCATTTCAGGCTGGCTTTCGATGGATGTTAGCCGAGATCTTCATGGTTGCTAGTCACCATCTGGTGGCTGGTATCCATCTGGTTCTGTAGGCCAGAGTGACAGAGTGTCAGAGTAGCAGAAACTTCCTTGTAGGTAACAGCAAAGTTTATTTTTATTTTTTTTTTGTACTAGAGCTCACTGACTGGAGCAGTGTCCTGGCTTTCAGTTAGGCTTCCCTTGCCCCACTAAATGCACATCCAGCTGATTTGTTATCCATACTACCATATGGACTGTTATTGGCCTCAAAACTGTTTTCTGTTTTCTTCTATTTCACTTCTGAATCTAGAGTCTTGTGGGCTCAGAATCCTTCTGGGAGCCACATTCATTAATTCCTTTTTAAAGATCTTTTGAGCAAAGATAAAGTATTCAGAAGGAGGGGGAGTTGAAAGGAAATGTAGGAGTGCTATGCTTACCAACTTAAACCAGGAAATCAGTGAGACTTGAACTGGTCTTTAGAATGTTGGGTTTTTTTCATTTTCTTCTTTTTGGTTTTTTTTTTTTCTGTCTTTGTCATTTCAGAAGGAACCTTCTCAGTACTTGGTTTTGCAGCAGCCTAGGACAGGAAGCTCATTTAAAGAAACAGAAAGGTCTTTACTACCTGTGGAAAGAGAAGCAAGATTTGTATGCTTTGAAAAGGTATGTAATAGAAAATTTACCTGGTTAAAAAGTCCAGTAGTCATTGCTCATTTGCATTAAAGTACTATCTCTCACAAGCTGTCACTTCCTGTGGTTCAGCACAGAAATTTCCCATAGCTTTCTCTTTTCAAAGGGGAAGCTAATCTGTCCTCATTCCAAATATTCAAACTTTCAAAATAGTGTCCTTTTAATAGTAAGACTATTTCTCTAAAGAAACAATTAATTTAGCTATGCAACAGCAATTACAATTGGTCTAAGTTGAACTGTAAAGCAAGTTCTGTCTTTTCATAAGCATTTAACATCAGCAAACTTGAGCAAGCCCTGTAATCCATAGTGGAGATACTGCAAAACAGAAAATACAGGAGCATATACAATAAAGGCTGAGTAACAAATATGAAAGTAAGAAATTTAATGTAGCTATTCTTGCTGGGTTTTTTTCTTCTTTTAGTTTGTGTATTTTCATGTTCACAGATCGTAATTTGCTGCCATTTAATTCTAACAACCCATCTTGAGGAGATTCTGTTGTAATGTATCCAGTGGCTGTTCCTGCACCAGGAGGTGAAGGAAGTAATGGACAACATGGGAAACTTATTTTTTTCCTTTTTGTTTTTGGAGCTGTGTTGCTGTGTGCTGGATTCCTTCTTTCAGTCTTTATTCTCCAGTCATGTCCATCTGGAAGCTTCAGTGACTGTAACGAGGTCCTTAAGGCTGCTGGGCCAGTGTTGGCTGTAACTGGACTGGTTTGTGTTTTACTGGCACGATCAAGGGCCAGGATGTATATAAGACAAAGACAATTGCAAAATGAGCAGGTGTACAGCCTTGTGTTTTGTCGTGGGAACTGCCAGTTTGCCCAGTTTCTCATATTTGGATTCCTGTTTTTAACTAGTGGAATGTTAATTAGCATCCTGGGCATTTGGGTTCCTGGTTGCAGCCCTGGCTGGCATACGATACAGCTCAACCACACTGGCACTTCTGACATGGACCTCCAGGGCTGTGGATTCCTGTCACTTCAAATCATGGGACCTTTGATTGTGCTCACTGGGTTGTGTTTCTTCGTGATAGCTCATGTTAAAAAGAAGCAAAACTTAAATCTCAACCAAGAATCCTGTGAAAGTGAAGAACATCCTCAGAGCCCTGAATCTTTTCAGGTTACAGTAGGTGAGTAAAAAATGTTGGAACTTTACACTGGGAATTAGTGAGGGTTTTTTCCACTAATGATTTACATCTGGATGTCACTTATTTGAGCTCTAAGTATGTCAGTTCTGCCATGTCAAGACAGCTGAAATAAGATAATATTACTTTGTCTCGTACGCTTTCTGTATGGTCAGTTCAGTTTCCTTTACCAAAAAGGCAGAATCTCTCTTTGGCACAGACAGAAAGGTCTGACTGTGTAAAGCAACAGAACCTGAGACAAATGAGTCTAACCCCGGTTCTGTTCTCAAACACTGTAGTTGATGCAGATCACAGACTTGTATGACTATATTTAAGATTTATTTTAGCCTTGAGCCCTTAAACAGAAGATTCTGATTTGTAACCAATGTACTGTATTTTTTAAATTGTGGCCACATCCTCAACCAGTCAGAGATAAAATTACAAGTTTTAAACTCTTCAGTTACAGAGTGGTAATTGGTAGATTCTTTTGCTGTACAATATATTGTTGTAGTGAACTGTCTATCAATCGTCGCGATTAGTGTGCCTTAAGCTACAAGTAACTCAGTAGGGAAACTGTCACGGCACACAAAATCAGTCCTCAGAGCCATTAATGACTCCCATTATAGCACTGCAGTACTTATGGAGAAACTCAGAATGACCTATTTTATGTTTGGGAGGGAAACTAAGTACTCTCCTATCCTTAAAATGTTCCAACAGTAACCTGTGTGCTTTACACTTCTGATTCTTGTAGACAGCCAACCATATTTGTGTCTCTTAGCTCGATAAATACTCCTCCTTCTCAGCTGTATTGTCTAAATGAAATCCTTCATTTATAAATGTGCTGCATCTTTATTTTGGGATTATTTAGGTTTTGAATGTAGCTCCAACCTGCTCCAACAGCCCAGAATGTATCAATTCTGTATGTGGGATCATTTATCTTAAAAGCTAGGCAAGTAAAAAATATAGGTTACTGTTAGTATAACCAGATGTGCTCAGTTCTTCAGAGGTAGTTCTTTTCTAATTGGTGTACTTTCCTCTAGGTGATGCTGTGATGTTATTCCCACCCCCACCACCTCCATATTTTGCTGACCCTATGTCACCAACTGTGACACATTGTCTTATGTCAAGTGTTTTACCTACAAGTGAAAATCCTCCACCATACCACTCTATCTTCAGTGATGGGTAAGACTGTGTTCATCTCTCACTTTAGAAATCTGAGGTGTTTCTTTAGGTGTCCAAGCCCATGTTATTATATAATCACTGTGAATTAACTACTTGCCATGACAAAGTTTTCTAATGAATAACTCAACTTACTTCAGATACTTTACTTGAATTGGCATTAGAATGTTGTAGTATACTAGGGGAATTACAAACTGCAGAATGTTCTTTATGAGGATTAAATTGTTGTTATTATGACTGGACATAACTTCTGAGGTTCTTAAATCAATGGTCCTTAGTAAATTTCTTCCAGAGATTGTCCAAGAGAAGGTGGCACTGACAGCAGTGTGGTAGTGACATGATATCCATATTGCCAGATTTTACAAGCCTCTGTAGAAACAGAGCAGCAAGTATTTTATGACGCCTACCCTCAGACCCTGCAATGTTACTTTATCTGCCAATATATTCATTTCTCCCATGTCCCTTACCTCTGCCTTGAGGAAGTGAAACTGTGCTGGTCTGCCTTGTTCCTGCTGTGGCCATGTGTCAAGGTTGAAAGATTCCTTGATATCGCAGAAGGTTCCAGCATGCTGATTAAGGAGGCTGCAAAGCCAGTTTCATTTCAAGATCTTGTACCTTACATACATGAATTACGACAGAATTGCCGGACATCACCAAGCTCAGGGATCAGGAGCTGCCAGCTTACCAAAGATTTGTCTATGCCGTGAGAAGTAGTGGGGTTATTTATCCCTTGTGGGTGGTAACTTGATGGTAAAAAAGGTCACTGCAAGGGCCACATACTAGAAGGCAGAGCTAGGTCTGGCCAGAAGAGCAAGGTGTAACATGTCTAGAGTTGCTAACTTACTTTCAGGCCCTTAATGGTTCAGAAATGACTTGATATAATATCTTTAGAATAGTCCTACATCAGCCTGGGTTTGAGCTGTGAGTCAGTAAGCTATGTGGGGCTATCAGTTAATGACCTTTATTCACTAGACTCTGCATGCAACATTGTGTCACTGAAAACTGGGAAATAAACTCTCCAACCAATTTGTTAGGTTACAAAGCCAACATTAGTTTATTAACAGTGCTGGAGGCATGGAATTCTCCACAAAGCATGTATGCTCAGTAACCTAACAGATCTGTTTATATTCCTGAAACTATCACATATATTCATCACATTTCTTGAATACATGCATATATGCTAATTATTTCCATGGACTTGTTTGGATATGGTTCCAGATCTTCTGATGTCTCCTTGAGAGAATCTCAAATCAGTCATCAAGTCATAATGTATTTCTCTTACCAAGGAAGCATTAACTAGAAAAAGACTTATTAGTCACAGATTAGGGAATTAATGCAAGGCCACATTGTCTCTGGTATTTGTACTAAGCACTGTATGGGACAAAATAAGCATTAACCATGAATATACTTACTACGCTAAAGTTAACAGAATTTTCCAACATGTTCCCCTTCTACATCTTCTGTGTAGACAGAAATATAACCTGTTTGGTAACAGTTGGAAGCACCATCACTGCCATTGTTGATGAGTGTCTGGAAAGTTGTCTGGCAGGAAAGGACCTCAGAATGGTGGCCAACAGCACCTGAACATGAGCCATCAGTGTGCCCAGGTGGCCAAGGCAGCCAGCTGCATCCAGGCTTCTATCAACAATAGCGTGACCAGTGGGACCAGGGCACCTAAATGTTCAAGGGGAGTGGGACAGTAAGTGGCTCATTCCTGGAAAACTGTGGGATGGGAGGCAAAGATTAGAAGGACAAGATGCTTTCAGGGGTCCTCTGCTTCTGAATTTGGAGTGTTCTGGCCACACTGGAACACACTTGCAGTCTTAGCAGTTGAGCCAAGAGCTTCTAAAGTGAGAGAAGCCAGAAGGGAAATATTGGAGAACTATCTCAAAGAACAAAGGGATATTCCTCTAGGAAGGCAACATGGCCAGCATCTCAGCTAAGGTGCCTTTACACCAATGCACACAGCATGGGCACAAACTGGAGCAGTTGGAAGCCACTGTGCTGCTGGAAGACCTATGACCTTGTTGCTATTCCTGAAACTTTGTGGGATGAATCCTTTTTCTGGAGTGTGACTGTTAGTGGCTTCAGGCTGTTCAGAAGAGACAGGGAAAGAAATAGGGGGTGAGGGATTGCTTTTTACAGCAAGAGGTGTGTTGAATGTGAAGAGCAGTCCCTGCAGAATACCAGGTGGAAAGCAGGTGGAAAGCCTGTGGGTAGGAGTAGAGACTGAGGCAGCAAAGGGAACCCTGTGGCTGGGGTCTGCTACAGCCTCCTAATCAAGGGGAGCCCATTGAGCAAACCTTCCTGCTCCAGCCACAGGAGGCATTGAGCCCGCAGGATCTTGTCCTGCAGGGGCAGCTCGACCACCCCAGCAGCTGTTGGGAAAGTAGCTTGGAGGGCTGTAGGCAATCCAGGAGACTCCTGGAGTGTGTGGAGGATAATATCCTGACCCAGGTGACAGACAGCCCTGCTGAGGGAATGTGTTACAGGCTGTGTTGGTCACCAGTGCAGGTGAGCTAACTGGGACACCAAGACTGGAGGCAGCCTGGGCTGCAGGGGTCGTGCATTTGGGAAGTGTGCAGGGCTGGGGGATCAGGGGTCAGGCAAGGAGTAAAAGTCTGGCTCTTGAACTTTAGGAAAGCAGAATTTCAGTCCTCTGGGAATCTAGTCAGTCTGTCTCAGGGACAAGGGAGTAGAAGAGAGCCGGCAGATCTTTAAGGAACTCTTCCATAGAGGACAAGAGCTGGCAATCCCCAGGAGCAAGAAATTGGACAAGGAGGGCAAGAGACCATCATGGCTGAGTAGGAACTTACTGGTCAGAATTAAGGGAAAGAATCAAGTACACAGGCAGTGGAAACCAGGACAGGTGACCTAAGAAGAGTTTAGAGATGAAGAACTGTTGTGTAGGGAGAAAGCTCGAGGCAAATCTGGAACTGAACCTGGCAAGGGACACCAAGAATAACAGGAAGGGCTTCTATGGGTACAGTTATTAACTAGAAATGGAAGGTCAAAGAAAGGATATCCCCCAATGAAGAATGTTGGAAAGGTGGTGACAGTGGATAAGAAGCTGAGGTACTTAACAGCTTTTTTACCTCTGTCTTAAATGTCTCTTTTCCTACTCAGGGGTAGATGGACAGCAGGATGGGGACTGGGGGAGCAAAGTCTCTCCCACTGTAAGAGACCAGGTTCATGGCTATCTGAGGAACTGGAATGTACATAAGTCTCTGGCACCCAATGAGCTGCATCCCAGAGTCCTGAGGGAGTTGTCACTAGATGTGGTCAGTAGATGTCAGTCAGATGTAGTTGCCAAGCCACTCTTCATGATATTTGAAAAGTCATGGCAGTCAGGGCAAATCCCAGGTGACTGGAAAAAGGGAAAAACATTGTACCCACCTTTGAGAAGGTTAGAAAGGAGGAATACTGAGGAGTACCGACCTGTCAGCCTCACCTCTGCCTGGGAAGATCATGGAACAGATGCCCCTAGAGCTGTGCACATGTAGGACAGGGAGGTGATTCAGGACAGGTGACACAGCTGCACCGAGGGCAGGTCCTGCCTGATCAACCCAATGGCTTTCTATGATGTGGTGACTGCAGCAGTGGACAAGGGAAGGGTTACAGATGTCATTTATCTGTCATTTTACTGTAAAGCCCTTGTCACAATCCCCCACAACAACCTTCTCTCTTGATTGGAGAGAGATGGATTCAATGGGTGGACTGTCTGGTGGATGAGGAATTGGTTTGACAGTCACATCCAGAGAGTAGTGGTCAATGGTTCAGAGTCCCAATGGACTTCAGTAACAAGTGGTGTCCTTCAGGGGTCCGTATTCAGACCAGTGTTATTTAATATCTTCATTACTGACATATGTGAATGGATTTGCAGATGACTCCAAGCTGAGTGGTATAGTTGTCAGACTTGAAGTATGGAATGCTATCCAGAGGGACCCTGACAAGATGGAGAAGTGAGTCTATGGTAATCTCATGTGTTTTAACAAAGCCAGGTGCAAGGTGCTAAAGCTGGGTCAGGGCAACCCTGGTTTCAGCACAGGCTGTGGTGAGCAGATCACAGCAGCTCTACCCAGAGGGCCTTGGGGGTGCTGGTGAGTGAGAGGCTGGACATGACCCAGCCATGGGCACTCCCAGCCCAGAGAGCCAAACGTGTCCTGGGCTGCATCCAGAGCAGTGTGGGCAGCAGGGCCAGGGAGGGGATTCTGCCCCTCTGCTCTGCTCTGCTGAGACCTCACTGCAGGGCTGCATCAGCTCTGGGGTCCCTGCACAGGGATGTTGCAGCGAGTCCAGAGGAGGCCACTAAGATGACAGAGGTCTGGAGTACCTCTCCTGTGAGGGAAGGCTAGGAGAATTTGGCTTGTTGGGCCTGTGAAAGAGAAGACTTCAGGGTGAGCTAATTGCAGTCTTCCAATACCTGAAGGGAGCTTACAGGAAAGATGGAGAGGGACTTTTTATAAGAGCATGTAGTGACAGGACAAGGGGAATCAATTTCAAACTGAAACCAATTTTAGAATAGATATTAGGAAGAATTTAGTTACTGTAAGAGTGGTAAGACACTGGAACAGGTCACCCAGAATAGTTGTAGACGTCCCATCCAGAAAATCGTTTAATGCCACATTGGATGGGTGTCTGAGGAACCTGGTCTAGTGAAAGATGTCCCTGTCCAAGGCATGGGAGGTTGGAAATAGATGATCTTTAACATCCCTTCCAACACAGGCTGTTCTGTGAATCTGTGGTTCACTTTTGGGTTCTTCTCAATGAGAAGGACACAGAGGTTCTGGAGTGTGACAAAAGGTCAGTACAGCTGCTGAAGGATCTGAAGCAGATGTCAAGTGAGGTGTCACTGGAGTTGACAGAGGCAGCTGGAGTTTTTCACTCTGGGGAAAAGGAGGCTTGATCTTATTGTTCTCAATTTTTGGAAAGGAGGTTGTGGCAAGATCGGTATTGGCCTCTTTTGCTAGATAACAAGTGACTGGACAAGAGCTCCTGGCCTCAAGCTGTGCCAGGAAAGGTTTATCTTAGCTATTAGGAAGGGTTTTTTTGTGGAAAGATATGTAAAGCATTGGAACAGGCTGCTCTGGAAAGCGGTGGAGTCACCATCCGTGGAACTGTTGGAAAATCATGTGGATATGGTTTAATGCTTGTGTGGATGTATCTGTCTTGTGAACATATGTATATAAAGAGGAAGTTTTTTGGGATAGTATATAGTGGAGTGGATAAAACACCTCAGGCTTGGTTGGATACAGAAACCAAAATGCCTGACCTCACCCTGTGGTGTTTTCTGATGGGGATGCTCTAGCTGTTTACCTTCCATGCTTCCCAGTGTCCTCACAGAGACCTGCTGAGCTGACATCACCTCTGGGTGTTTCACTCAATCCCGCTCTCTCGTGGCTCAGCAGTTGCTGGCAGTCAGGGCATCTTGACTAGTGTCAACTGCTTCCCATGCACCTTCATGGAAGAGCAGCATTGGCCTCGTTGTTTGTAACAGTGAACTGAGGTTGAAGATCCCAAATATAGCAGGGGACACACACTTTGTATGTTGGTGGCTACTGGACGAAAGTGATTTGCCTCGTCGACCCACTGCTCAGCGCTCTGTAAGCAAGCACTGTGCTGCAGCCTTTGCTGGATGAGAGGTGTGTTAGTAAGCTGAGTCATGGTCTCATCCCAGAATTGCTTGCATTTTTCCTGCAGTCTGCTGCATAACACTTCAGCATTTGTCTTGTAGTATTTCTCTCTTCTTTGAAAACCCTCACAGACCAGTAACAGCATTGAAGATGAGGTGACTGTGCTCTGTTTTTGAGCTCCTCACTCAGTATTGGTATTGATACAGATGTATGTACAAAAGCATGAGTCAGCTCTGGGAGTGAATCATGAAGAGCAAGGAGTTCTTTCCTTTCCTTGGGCTGCTGAAGCAGTATGCTGAGGGCCAGCTCTCAGATGAGATGAGCAATGTAGCAGAACAGTGTGGGTTTAACCAATTTTGATACAGCTATGATGGCTAGAGGAAGACAGGAAATACTTGGCTGCTCACCTTGAATGTCACTGGGAACTTTGCAGTCTGGTTATGTCCAGTCGTTTTTGTTTCTCCAGCTTTGAGTGGGAATATGACTCCTTATGTCTGTCATGGAATGCTTAAAAAAGGTTTGATTGCTTTTCTTGTAAGATATCAAAAGGCTAGGGATTGTGATTTTTTTTTTATGCCGTTCTAAATCTAGTACCTGTCTTACATGAGGGAAGGGAACTGTGTATGTGATACATTACAAAAGGGAAGATCCTTAGGAGCTAAGGATCAGAAGAAGATTTAGTAAGGTTGTGAAACAGCCCAGCCAGAAGCACCTAATACCCATAAGCCAGGCTGTGACTGGTGAAAGGTAGAAGGGAACTTGTTTTGCTCTTCCCCTCTGAAATTACAGAATTTTCATATGAGTCATAATGTAGCCCAAAGAATCCTAATGCTTATGCAAGTTCTTTGCTTCAGGGATTTTTAGGAAGTGTGTGCATACATGTATGTTTATGTAAATCAAGTCAAATTTCACTCACTGTAGATAAATTAATTATGCTAATACATAGTTTTGTGTTTTATAGAGCGCAGCTTGCTGATGATGAAAGAACAGTTGCTGTTAGAGACTATGAATCCATATATACAATTTCTGGAAGCAACTCACCTTCAGATATTTTACCAATGCTATACCTTTCTTCCGAATCACCACCAAAATATGAAGAAAAAGCATCAATAACAAATAATGAATATTTGCCATCTTCTTCCTCATCTTTTTCATCTATTTCATTAGCCACATCTGACACCAGCTCATAAAGGACTGTCAGTTCACTTGATTTTTAATTAAAATGTACACAGAGATTTACAATTTTTGAATTTATTTACATTTTATAATAAAAGCAATAATGTTGGCTGTGTCTAATTTTTCATCAGAAAGAATAAACAATGAGCTTGGAATTCAAGAAATACTAGAGAAGGCTGGGCCTCTGCTAAAGTAGTCCGAAGGGAGTTCACTGCAAGAACATTCATTAAACTCTCATCTTGTTCTGTTACAGCTTCAGTTTCTATTTATAGCTGTTCTTTTTATAATGAAGCCACTAAGTAGAAACCAACTTTTTTGATTATTTTAATTAAATCTGTTTGGAGTTTCAAAGAAAGAAATAATTAGGAAGTGTTTTTATTTCAATTTTTGCATGTTTTTTGTGGAAAATACTTGTTTGCAAAGTTATGGCCTTTACAAGAACTTGGGGAGCATTCAACTTATAGGGATGTTAGTGTTGGTACCAAAGATGCTATGAAGAGCTTCAATGGCTACCTTTTGGTCTGCCTGGTAACAAACACTCCATATTTAGACTATCTCTGGTCCTTATGTAAGTATAATCCCTATGAAAATCAGTTTTAGCTGCAGTTAAGAGCCCAGAGGCAGCCCTGAGGATAGTTAATAGGCTAACAGTTTAACTGTGGTAATGACTGGTTTCAGAGGGATTATTCTGCTGTTTTATATCATCATTCATGGATTACAGAAGGAGTGCTTATTGTGTGTTGTGAGCACCACAAAGCAATGATATCTTTGAGGTGCAGACACTACTTATCAGCAGATGCACGAGAGACAGTTCCATGGAAACCCGTGCAATAAATGGTTTTAACTGACACAGTGCTTGACAGACCTTTCAGAGACACAACCCTCTTAGCTCACCCATCCTGCAGCAACTCCAGGGTAGTGGTAGTGGATGGAGGTTCTAATTCTATTTTGTTTGTTTGCACCTGTTCCCAAACTGAAGGATTAGCTTGTAGTAGGTGAGGATAATTAGGAGGAATTGAATTGCTGCTAATCTTTGACATTTTAGCTTGTAGGTGTACCATGCTTAATTTCAGAGAACTTGGCTGTAACAGAATGTAAAACTATGAATTAAGAGCTTAAATTCCCTCCTGTGCCTACGGAAAGGTGATTGCTTTGTATCATCTTTCTGTGAACATGCCTCTCACCTGGTGACTGCTTTAGAGAGAAGTTTAGGAGCTCCTGCATTTGCCATTTATTTCCCATTCAGTGTCATTCCCTCAGTTATGCTAGAACAGCTCTTTGTGCAGGCACACAAAAACAAACCAGCCAGCAAGGGAGGTATATTTAGCCAGCAATAGAGCTGAGGGGCTTATGCACGCAGAGTAATGAGCAAACGTGGCACAGAGGGGGATTTAGTGGGTAGGAGCTGATTAAACTGGCATGACTCAGCCATGGGAAATGTCTGTATGATAAAAGGGAATCCACAAAAGCCAGTAGGCATTTTGTCCTTTTTTCTCTCATATGCTTTTTACCCAGTGAATCTTTCAAGGTTGTTTCTCCATATATGCAATCTGCAATACAAGCTATAGTTTGCCACCTTTGTGATTATTTTTTTAAGCTTTTGCTTCTACTATTTAAACAATGGGCCCCACTACCATGCATGATTTGTACATACAAAGCTTTGCATATGTCTAAGGAGCCTGTTTATCTCTCAATTTATCCTTCTATTGTATAACATGAACAGAAGCTGGCATATTTTACTGGAAAGATCCCATGCAACAAAGCCCATGTTATCTTTATGCTGTTGTATTTTCTGAAAAGGCTTAATATCAAAACATGTTTAAACAACTCTGGAAGCACTTCACTATCTTGAAAAAAAGAAAGCAGTTGTATCTGGTGGTGAACTGAAAAAGTATCAACCTTCTCTGCTGCCTTCAATTTGCTCAGTCAGATGTTTCCAAGATGTACCCAAGAGACCAGACAAATCAAGCAGAATACATTGATTCATCTGAATTCTCTGTAACAGAAACATAATCTTGTTTTCCTTCAAGGTTATTGTATTTTGATCATCTACTACAGAGTCTTCAGTGTGGATCACTTTATTTCCAAAAAAGCAGTCTTCACAGAAGCTGTGATTCAGAGAGCTGCTGATCTGACTTCAGATTCAGCATTTGAGTTTCCTGGGAAGGATAGGTGTTAACACTGAAAACGAGGATTGAAAATGGAATTTATCTCTGTGTAATTTTGAGAAGATGCTTAGGAAATTTTACAGTTTACAGGTGTATTAGCATCCTCTATTTTTGTCTTAGAAAATCATTACTTGAACACTGAGTGCATCTCCATGAGCTGCTCAGCACTGAAGTAGTTAACATGGCCAGTGCAACAGTATTTGCCTACTGTGTTGTTGAAATCTGTTGCAGCAAGGTCAGAAAATGTAAGAGGCTAGCAGGTCTGCCGTCTCCACTGAAGGCTATCACTGGATGAACAGCATTAGAAGGAGGAATTTTTGATGTGGGGAGTAGGACTGAAATGTCTGTATTAGAAAGGAAGCAACACCTTGTAAAACTATAAAAGTAGCTTAAAATAATACAGAATAGCATTTTTATTGAGGAAGTGAGATACTTTACTGTCCCACTAATGGTGCTATAACCCTCTTTCTGCCCTAAGGTTAACTTAAGTGTTTGACATATAAATGCTAGGGAGCAAATCAAGTTGGTTACTGATTCACACTTACTTAAACAGGCAAAGTGGGAGGTAAGGGTTGCTTGCCCTCTCTAAGTGAAGTTCTCTCTTCCTTGCTGCCTTTGCTGACCTTGCCCTGCTTCTAACTGCAACACTGCAATCCTTTGCATATGAGAGTGATTCACAAAAATATAAATGAATGCCTTTTCTCTAGGAAAAGCCTTCCTTCCTGCATCAACAGCAGCTAAAAAAAATGAAGTTAACTCATCTGAAAAACTGAGATTGCACAGGTCTTTGCAATGCTGCTATGTTTTTGTGATAGCAGCACTTGGTGCATTGCACCTACCCCTTCTTTGCTCTTTGTGGTTTGTGTTGCTGTATCCATTTATCCCTTTTCCATCCTATCACTTCAGAGTCATGACTTGTAGTGCCAATACCTCCACATTTCTGCAGTGAACATGGCAGATTTCATCTGGAGGATCAGTGCTCCTCCATCACGCGTGCATCTCAACAATTAGGCATGGACAAACCTTCATTTTGGTGTGCCTGCTCACAAGACAATATTCTCCAGAGCACATAAAGCCACCTTACTGGTAAATACAGTTGTGGGCAGCTGGCTGAACCTGCTCCTCACAATTTATTGAGGCTGGCAGTGCAGTAGTTCAGGGGTGGCAGTGCAATAGTTCAGGGCTGAAAGGCCCACTCACAGTGCTTCTTCATGCATTGCTCTTACACATGTAACTCATGTTTTCCATTAATGATGCCATGTGCAGTTACCTTTCTCTAGGGACAGGTCCCACTAACTAAACTCACTGGCTTCTTAATCCCCCTACATTATGGAGTGATAAGTTGTATTTATTCATTTTAAAGCTAATCAGTGTGCAATACCATGTGTTGTGCAACTTCTTTTGCATGTTCTTTGTCTAAGTCCCTGCTTATGTAACTGGTGTTTAAGAAAATAAAACCTTCCTACAACAGGCTGATAATGTGAACAACTGTATAAAAATAGGTAACATAAGGAAAAGAAAAAAAGGGTTAAGTAATGGCCTGTCAGTGTTCACTAGCATGACTCTTCAAACAGGTTAGAGAGCTGAGGGGGGGTGCAGAGCACCTGCTTCCAGCAACAAGCACTGCAGGGGAAGTCTGCATTGGTAATAGAAAATTAGGTGGAGGAACAGAAAGGAAAGCGGTGGTGGTGCTTGTGTTCAAGGGTAAGTCTGAAGCATATGGGAACAAAACTTTATTGAGATCTGAAAACAGCACTCATTGTGAAAAACCTCACTTTGTCCATCTTTCCTTGGTTTCACAAAACTCTTTTGCTTAGGAGTCATACCAGGTAAAAGGGATGTATTTATTAAATTGATATTTTTAAGTGAGTCCCCAGAACACACACTTACTGGCAAAGAAAAGCACTGGTCTTAAAAAAATCAGTGTGATCCAGTCATCTCTTAAGACCTTGACAGCTGCCTGACTGCAGCATTACCACTCTGGGCAAGAAATTGGAGAAATGTGGGGAGACATAGAGGAAGCTGTCTTACAGAGAGGGAACAGTTTACAGGGCCAGGAGTAATTTTAATGTAGATCCTAGCACACCAAATGAAGAGTGTTTTCCATCCTGTTTTAAAAGTTCAAGTGGCATGTAGCTTTGGAAAGAAAAAAAAGAGCCTGTATTCTCCAGCTCTACTGTGCACTTGTTCAACAATCATGAAGTCATGTCCTAGACCAGAGGCAAAGAGAGAGCTGTGGGATTACATAACACTCAACTTGGAAAATTCCGATTCCAGACAGGATCTAAGGACCGTTCTGTGGGTTTGAGGAAGTGCTCCTGCACGATCTGATTGCAAATAGCAGTTGCAGAGTTCTTGAATGAATGAAAGAAGCAAGGTGATACTACATCTGTATAAACTATTAGCTAGACAGCTGTTATAATATAGTGCTGCTTTTAAAAGGATGTTGGAAAGCCTGAAAGATTCAGCAGTGGCAAGGATGACTCATGGTATGGAAAAACCCGATTTATAAAGAGTAGTAGCAGTTCATTACATGAAGTTTAACAAATGTAAGGTTAAAGGTGACTTAGACTTTGTCTATAATTACCAATGCAAGGACAGTTTATCTAGTATTTGAGCACTTTCTAGTTTACTTGTCAGCATACAAAACCAGAGCATTGTGTGGGACTGATCTCTGCTCAAGAGGTGCAGAGAATCCTAACCTGACTTAGTGTTGTGGGAAAGGCTGATCTTGAGTGTATTTCTCAGAAAATTTGTTGACACCCTGGGTAACAGGGGCGACTTAACAATGCTGAATTTGGAAGCTTCACCGCTGTTTTTTTAAGGAATCCAGCACTAATATTCCTCAAGGTCTATGCACCAAAATATAGGAAAGACATCTGCAATTGCATTCAGCATCAGTTCTGAAGGTGCCAAACCTGGTGAATAGCCCTTTCCAGGAGAGAGCTGTTGTCACACAGTGTGATGTGAATTCACAGTAGACTAAAGGCACTTTTACTGACTTTGAAGAAGCAGTCTGAAAGGTAAATTTTCTAGTTCTAGAGCCATTGCTAGTCTTATAAATCTCAGGATAAGCTTGCTTCCCCAGGGCTGCCAGTAGCAGGAAATAGCATTATGTGTTCTACTGCCTGAGCAGTAATCAATGTCCTGTGTGTTGTGTATCCTGCCATGCTAGTCAGAACAGACAGAGTAGTTGGAGATCTTTCCTCCTTAGGGAATTATACAAAGTCACTCTACCAGAACCCTCCAGCAGCAATACTTTAGTCTGAAGCTGTTAGAAAACAGAAAATTTCAAAATTCAATGATCGGTCTGTTTAATATGTGAGGCATGAGCTCAGCAGAACAATTCATTGTGATATGAAGAAGTATCTTAGGTACCTGTGAGAACAGGATAAGATTCCTCACTCTGTCAAGTTTAGCATTACAGGAGACGCTGTCTCATTCCTGCAGTGTTGTGCTATTCAGGGAATTTGGGTATTATTCTCCATAAACCTTAAAACCAACAACAAAAAATGTCCAAGAATTTAGGGGAAATTATAGCATAATTATGGTGCCTTCAACCATCTGGAAAGCTTTGACTGTCTTGAAATAATGTTTCTCCCACAGCCAAGAGCTCTCTCAGTCTTTTTAGCTCTTACCATCCTGTTGCTACTTATCCTCCTGCTCACCTAGTGGTTGCCCCAGAAAGATATCAAAGCTCACATTGATATTTTTTTTAAACCATGAACTGCAAAATGAGCTGCAACAGAGGTCCAGGCACAACTATAAATGTCAAGCTTCAGAGCATGGAAAGGTATTCCTTGCAATGGCATGTGGAATTTCCCTGCAGAAAATGGAGCAGGAAGTGGAGAGCAAGAATCTCCTCTCTGCTGTTGACTAAACATATGCTGTCCATATGTTGGATCCATCAGCTAGGCAGGGCCACGGAAAAGCTGCAATACCTCCAGCTTGCTTTTTCTGCTATCCAGAATGAGAACAGTATCATGGGTGCTAAATTAAAGAAGAAACAGAAAAAGACAGGCGGTCATGCAGGGGTGAATCCATTTCGGAAGTGATGGTGGTAATTCAAGAAATCTTTAGTGATGGCTTCAGGCTTCACTTCCCAGACCTTTGTTCTTCCAAGCAAAGTTTATTCTTTCAAAGCATAGACTCTGTTAACCATACACACAAAAAGTTCTTGTATAACTAACCTGAACCTTCGACTTTAAATGCTCTGCCAAGTCCTTTACAAGCCCTTTCTCTTGAGAGAGAAGATACGTTATACTCAGTAATGGAGCAAAACAACAACAGTGTAGAAGATTTCTCCTTGAATGTCTTTTCTGTCACTCCTTGTCAGCCAAACAGATCTGATGCCCTGGTGTCAGATGGGGATAAAGCTGGCACCACTCTGCTCTTTTCAGGTGTGTTTTTGGGACTCGTGGGGATCACTTTCACTGTGATGGGATGGATAAAATATGATGGCATTACTCACCTGGAGTGGACTCAGTTACTAGGGCCTATTCTCCTGTCTGTTGGAGTGACTTTTATTCTGATTGCTGTTTGTAAATTTAACATGCTTACGTGCAAGCCCTGTAAAGAAGGAGAGGAAAATACGTCGGAACTTGACCAGACTGCAAGCGGACAGTCCTTTGTCTTCACTGGGATTAACCAGCCTATAACTTTCCATGGTGCCACAGTGGTACAGTACATCCCCCCACCCTACCCATCCCAGGAAGGCACTGCTGTGAGTCCTGGCTACCTTCACCCAGTGCTCAGCTGCTGCAGTGCTGGTCCCCCCAGCCCCTCGCCGGTTCTCACCATGGGTTCTCCTCACTGCTGCCCTGCCTACACCCTGGATAACCTGGCTTTTACTGGAGATGAGAGCTACACTACTTATCCTGCAGAGAATTCCAGGAATCAGAGGTAAATCTTCTGAAATGCCTTAGTCTGTTTGGACACAGGCTTCTGAATATTTTAAGTACTATGTGTGGTTTCATAAGAAACTACAGCTAGTTCAGGGTATTACTCTTCAAAGACTTTTTTTTGTCTTTGTTAGGAATTATTCTTGAGTGAGGAAACTGGAAATGTTTTTATATAATTTAAATTCTTTTATAAATGTCCTTCAGTCAACTAAATCTCTTGTTACTTTTTAAGATATAGGTACTTCTGTTCGTGGAGGTTTTCTTATGTTTTTCTTACCACCTTTAGGTTATTATGGGTATGATGCCAAGATTATTTTTTGCCTTTTCTTTTATACCTTTTATACCTTTTATGTATCCTTAGTATTCTTAGCATGCATACCTGTAATTCCTTAAGTCTGATAACTTAGCATAACTAGTGTTCTGTTAGGCCAGGAGACCAAACATCCTAAAGGCCTCATAGTGGGAAACCAGAAAACCCTTCACTATCTTGGGCAACCAAGGTCCACTCTAGAACATATCCTGTAATCTAGAGACTTGGCCCATCCAGGGGGGAATTTCTCAGGGGAATATCACACCATTCATCCAGGCCTTCCATTGGGGCATCTGTGTTAATTAATTTGTAAGGTCCATAAATTGTATAGGCAAACTGTCATGGGTGCGCACCGTGGCACATTCCACCTTGGGGAAATGGTGCACCCATAAGGATCCTGATTGAAATACCAAGGTAAAAAACCCTTATCCCTTAACCATGTCTGCCTCTCAATTTTTTAAGACCAGGAAAAGACATCATGTAGAGCCCGAGGCTTCCACTCAATCACAATCACAACGCACAAGTCAGCACTCATCAGCATTTCTGCAACAGTGCAAGAATCGGCTTGTTTCCAGGTACTCTCCCTCCTGAGTACACCTGGTCACAACATGCTGCTCTCTCACTGTAACAACCTTCCAGCTTTTCCTCTTTTCCTAGTTTTGAGGCATAAACAGTATTGCTCATGTTGCACAGCAGTATGGAGCTGCTCAAATTGTACACAAAATAATTTTATATAGTTCTTTCCTCTAAGGAAAAATATTCTAATTATGGGGATTACTCATAATTATATCCTTTCTACAACACAAGTCACTGTTAGTTTATTTATGAAAGTCTTTTTGAAAAACTGCTGACTGACCCATTGTCCTCAGCAATATGGGTGACAGGCACAGGCTGGGTGAAGAAAAAGGTCACCTCCTGACACTTTTAAACTTCATGAAAAAACACAGCAAACAGCTGAGTCTCACTGAAACTTCATCTCATAGCATTTTCTCAAGAAGCCAGGGGGTGCTTTTCCCAGATAAGGCTGTGAGGATGAAACACTGCAATTACTTGCATGCTCTGTCTTTGATAAATTATTTTTGCAAGAATCCAAAAAAATATTTTCTTTAAACACTTGTGTGATAAGATGGTGTGAGGAAGATCTTGGTATTTATACACAGTTCATTATCACTGAAGATATTTAACTGATCCCTTCCTTTTTCTCTGTCAAAATTCATTAGCCCTTTGCAATGCAGCTTAATAGCACAGCTATTAATTATTTAGTAGCAAAACTATTAATAGCAAAGCTATTAAACTCAAGGATCTAAATCCATATTAGGATTCTCCAACAAGAAGCTTGATTTTCAGACTTGCTGAAAATAGTGGGAACTGTGAATGCACAAGATGTTTGTGGAAGATCATGGTTGCTCCTGGACATTCAGGATCTCTAGAAAATACTTGATTTTTTCTTGATGTATTTTCATTTTTGATTGCTTGGGAAACCTCAAGTGTCTGATCCATGAAAATGCATCTTTTGTTTTAATTTTGTCTGATTCTTTAGAAGAGCTTACTCTTTAGTAAGTCCAGTATACAGATTAGACTTCCTCAGCTTGCTTTACCTGGACAACCCAGTCCTGTTGCACAACCCAGTCCTGTAGGCATTTTTTGCAGCATCCTGCTTGAACCACAGCATCTCAGAACAGAGAATACAAATTATGACTTCTGCCCACTTTTACATACATCTCTAAGACATCCCGCATGCATCAAATTCAGTTCCCTTCCCTGCCTGATGGGAGGCAAAGCATGATCTCCCACCAGGAGTCCTAATAACTGTGAGGTTAATGTCACTGAAGGAAATGGCATCTTTCTGAAGCCTCAACAGAGATGTGTGATCCTCCCACTGTTAAGGACTTTGACAATCACAGCTGCTGCACACCCCCTCTGTGGGAGGGCTGTGGTGAAACACCTCTGAGGTCCCTTCTTTACCTGGATGTGGGTCTTTGGCACACAACCCAGACTGCAGGTTGCCCCCAGAGTATCTAGACAACTGTAGGCTGTGGTAAACTTTTTTGCTCAAGTTCAGCTTGCTTCCACACATTGAATCCACAACAATTTGAGATTAGCTGATTTGGCTAGAGAATGGTGTTGCTGAACACCAAGACTGTGGGTTTGATCCGTGTATGGGCCATTCATTTAAGATTTGAACTTGATCCTTGTAGGTCCCTTCTAATTAACAATATTCTGTGAAATGTATTTACAACTATATTTAACAGAAGATGAAGTGTATTAGCTCTGAAATTTTGCAATCCAGAATGAAGATCCAACACAGCTATGCTCAGGAGCTTTTTAAACCCCAGAACAATGACCATGCTATGAGTCTCTAAATTTTTTTTTGTTTGTTTTTCTACATGTATTTCAGGTTCTGCTTTTGAATGTGCCTAGAAGTGTGACAGAGCTGGACAAGCCAGTATTTCCCTATGATGATCCCATTAGGTTTGCTTATCTCCCTCAGAGGGCTCAAACCAAAAGCTGATCTCAGCTCTCACCTGCTGGAGTGGGCACCACACAAAACACCCTGGAGGGCAATGGTCAATGTCCCAAGTCACCAAGTGGTGCGCTGTGCCTGTGGGTCAGTCTCCTAGCCTGGCACAGCTAAAAGCAGGTGTCCACTATGGAATGTGTCAACTTTCTCTTGTTTGTCAATGCAGCTGTCTCAGCTCTTGCCAGATTTCATCCATGTGATTGATCTCATTCCTGGGGGCTGGAGAAGCCTGGCACTTGAGCACAGACAGTTGCAGACCAACATGATGTACCTGACAGCTGGAAGTCTCAGAGTTTCTGCAGCTCCTGTAGCAATCAGGAGACATAGATCTGGATGGAGATGTGCATTCAGAACATTGTCCAGCAGCACAGACCTGCAGGTACACACCTCCCTGTGCAGTACACTTTAGAGGCTGCCAAGAAATAAAGAATTTGGGGGCATACAAAACAACCACTGTGTTTTGCAGTGATGGACAAAACTGTGACAGAAGTCATATTTGGGACTCATTTAAACAGACTCAAAGCTGGATTAGCAACTACAGCAGCAGCTACTGAACAGTGACTGCAAACTTTGTGGGAGGTTTTTCTCATTAGAGGAATATGGGACACACTGTTTTTCAGCAGTGTTGGCCTGGTGTTAGCAGGTAGTTGGAGAAGGGAAGGCACGTGTAGTTGGAGAAGGGGAGGCATGCTGTGTTCAGCATGATCTCTATGGGATTAAGTGAGAGAAGATAGGATCTAAAAATAAATGCAAGCTTCTCTTATGGAAGTGTTTTACTCCTTTTCTGGAATTTACACAGAGGTGAACTCATCCTCCCTCCACAGTAGGAAACAGAATGGTCCCAAATCCCCAGTTAGTTCCACATGGACAGAGCCCTGCACTTAGCACGTAGTTCTGCTGACTCCAGCAAGCACTGCAGTAGCACAGAGGTCAGGCTTGATGGATCCAATTGCAGGACTAGGGTCAAAATTTCTGCCCAGTCACCCTCCCCCACAACAAAAAAATTCCTTCAGTCAGACACCACATATTTTTCCTGCTGCTCTTCTCTCCCTCCCTCCCCCT